TTAAAAAGTACGAATTGTTCAATCGTACACAAAGGACATGGCCCATACATCCGAGGAATATACTCGCATTTACAATAATTTGGTAATGCAGAATGCATCCACTATTGGTTAGCGTAGATGATAAATGACGTGTTCTGTCTTCGAAGTTTAAAGGTTTCGATCCTAAACGTGCATTTGTAAGAACTAGTATGGGTTACGCAATTTTGGAGGGAAAAAGGGTCGACTGAATTTTAATCTGTGTACGTATAACCTAATTCATAAATACTAAAACAACCTAAATACCTATTTTAACTGTATTTTTTTTTATTTGAGAAATTAAAAGACAAAACCTCTTTTAAAAACAAAGCAATAAACTGAGTCGTGACCATTTTGTGTTACTGTGGTACACGCACGAGAAATTGTGTTACCTTTTTTATGTACTTTCTTTTTTTTTTTTAAGTATACGTTTTGTTTTATTACTTTTTAAATGTGTACCAATGGCTAATGTTATTTGTGTGCTGTAAGTGATGCAAATAAATTATCTATTTTTTTTTATTAGCTGTTTTTTTGTTCCCGCCAATTCACAATTTCTATCAGCCATTTAACCCTTAAAAGCCTGATTTTTTTAAATCAAATTAAAAAATATACAAGTGTACCCTTTACTGTGTTTCCTAATGGGGAAAAATAGTATAAAAGAGTCAAAACGATATTTTTATATATTTATTTTGAAAAAAACATTTGGTAACATGTGAACAGCCAAATATTAAAATAAAATCGATTGTAGGCGCCCAATGCGATTTATAAGCCCGGTATCAAATTTGAAACTTGAGGTAATTAAGGGTTAAAGGTTGACTGGTAGAAATCCCTTTTATGGCATACGTCCGCCATTGTATTAATTCTTTTTTAAGAAATCTGTATCCTACAATTTTAGACTTTGTTGTACAATAAAGTGTTACAAACAAACGAACGAACACTTCAGTAGCTAAAATAGGCTTTTGGAGGTTTGACATTTATGAATAAGGGAGTGGGGGAGAGGTTAGGTTGTAAATTTTATGACCCCCATACACGCGTCAACATTTTTATTTAAAAACTCAATCTGTCAATATGTGATTATAAAAAAAATTGGTATGGTAATACCAATTTCACACTGTTTACATTATGCAATAAATACGATAGCCCGATCCTCTCATTGTGGGTCAAAATTATTAATGGGAGCAATAAAATGAATTTTGTATTTTTTTTCTACTACTAACATAGTTTAAGTCAATTGTTACTAACAAGAATGGATCTTTGTAATCTTTAAATAAAGAAATTTTATTATTATTAATACAGTGAACGCCCTCTATAAGCAACATTCTTTATATTTTATTTATTCCACTCAGCTTAGTTTGTAAAAGAAATAAGTAAAAATATTTTCCAGACGGCAAACTATTTTTATACTCCTTTTTTCCTCTGTAAGCAACTTTTCCCAATAAAATATATATATTTTTTTATTGAAATCGGTTCAAATGAATTGCTTATATAGAGCGTTCACTGCGTTAGAATCATTTCGGAATGTTCTGTCGGCAAAGTTGAATTGAAAAAATCGATTCTACCATATACCATACCATACCTTCAGTAAAACACTGCTCTAAATGTCATTTTCATCACCATTGACATGGAATCCATCCTCACACGCTTGACCCTAAATGGTCGCGTACAGCGCGGTTCCAGAGGAGTTTCCTCCCGCGGACGCTCAGGCTGTGGGATGAACTCCCTGCCGAGGTTTACCCTACAGACTACAGCGTGGGGTTCATCAAAAAGGGTATATTAATGTAACTTTTTTATTCCTTTTTTGAAGACCCCATGCTGTAATCTCTTGGATAAACCTCGACAGGGAATTAACTCCATGACCTGAGCATTCGTGGGAGGAAGCATCTCTGAAACCGCGCAGTACGCGACCATTGAGGGTGTAGGAAATGAGGATGAACTCCCTGTCGATGGCGAGCCGTACGATGGTGGAAAGTGGCCGTGGGCATCATATTGAACAATTCCTCTGAGCATAGTCCATTGTACAGGCGGTAGAACACTTACAAAGTGACACTTCCATTCCAAAATACATTTTCATTAATTAAAATACGCAAAAAAAAAAATGTAATGGCACAATATCGTGTAATTTTGAAATTTCGTACAATTTACTGCTTTATAGCCAAGGTAATAGAGTCCGTTATACAATGTTCAACAAAACACTGACATGTACGTCTAAAAAAAAGCCATCTAATATATAAAATTCTCGTGTCGCGGTGTTTGTTATCAAACTCCTCCGAAACGGCTTTACCGATTTTCATGAAATTTTGTGTGCATATTGGGTAGGTCTGAGAATCGGCGAACATCTATTTTTCATACCCCTCAATGATAAGGGTGACCCACCCCTAATAATTTATTTTTTATTTTATTATGATTTAGCATTGAAAAATACACACAACTTCAAATTTTCACCCTTTCACGATCAACGCCTGTTTTTTGATCGCATTTTTTAAATTCCCCAATAGGGTTGCAAGATGGCAACCGAATATAATTTTCATGTATAGTTTATAACTACAATTTGCTTTAATTATATCTTTTTTCTTAGTTTAAATTAATCATGAAACCTCACCGGTCGATATTTGATCAACTACCAATCGATCAGTTACATTACGGAGTAGGGATGGTGACGAAGCCGGCCTCCTTTCATGTATATGGCGAAACAACGTTTGCGGGGTCAACTAGTAATGTCACTTGCCTACGGTTGACTGGGAGAGAATGCTTTCAGCATCAAGTCCGCCATGTACACATATATGTACTAATGAATAAATAAATAAATAAATAAATAAAATAATTCAATAGATATGAATAATATTTGATTATTTATACATTGAGTTCTGTATATTGATGACTGTCCATACATTTTGGCAGTGAATTTACACGGTACAGAGGAATAACACCTGAGTCCTTACGAATGGCAACGCATGGGGGGCATCATGGGCGAAACAGTATACTCTGTTATGTGCACGGTACTGCTCATGTCTATAGGCGACGGTTACCGCTTACCATCAGGTGGGCCGTCAGCTTGTTTGCCAAGTACAAGTCTGATGTCTATACTGATTACGAGCGGATTCTTTTCTATATTACCAGCGACCCGGCCCGGCTTCGAGTGCAAATGCCGCACCGCTATGTCCCCGCATTTTAAATCTGTAACATCTTCGGAAATATTCATTTAAATTACATGCTGTAAAGGGCCATATTGATCTATATTAAATGGACAATGTATTTAAGGTACTTAATAGGATAAAAACTAATGTTGTATTGCTTAAAATCACTTCGTAAATACGCCATTTTTCCGTAAAATGTAAAGGATAAAAAAACGGTTATTGCGGGTTATCCTTAAGAGATAGACATATGCCATCGCGGAGTTTTTTGTTGACCTTTCTAAGGCGTACAATACTGTAGTACATTATTTTGATTTATCACGTGCGGTTCAGGCAGCGTTTGCAATGTAAGCGCAACAAAATGTGTTTATTTACGACATCACATTAGAAACCTCTAAATTTACCAGTGTACCTCTACAATATTATGCATGTATTATACATATAAACCTTCCTCTTGAATCACTCTATCTATTAAAGAAAATACGCTTCAAAATCCGTTGCGTAGTTTTAAAGATTTAAGCATACATAGGGACGGACAGACAGCGACAGCGACTTTGTTTTATACTATGTAATGATGTTAAAATATTGTTCCTTTGGACTTTTACGATAGGATGTGAGACGAACGAAATGTTTTACACCATTTATTGATCCCATTTTGGTATAAACAAAAACACGATATTGAGTCCGAAATCTCGGAATTTCATTTGGTGGTAGACCCGCTGTTTATTTTTGAAGTCGGTTAAAAATGGACACAGTACCTTGGGCTATAAAGTGTAAATGTAGCAATTGTACAAAATGCCTCAAAGTGTAAATTTGTTTTTAAATTTTTAATTCAATAAATACAATAATGAAAAAGTTCATCAACTTTTGCTAGTCATTTCTTGAAACCATTTCAGCGATATATATATATATATATATATATATATATATATATATATATATATATATATATAAATATATAATATTATATACTACACTAGTACTAAGTATATACACGTCCTGTAATACTCCATTCACTGTTACACCGTGACAGACAGACATACGATTGGTTTTATTTTTATATTACTTAAAATTCGGCACTGACGTGGCACTGTGACGGCATCCTGACCGTTCAGTTTACGAACACATCTCAACTCTAGTTTTTATTGAAATCGCTTATTTAAAATATCTTTTTTTTTTTTTAAAGGAAAAAATAATGAAAAAATTGCATCAATAAATTCCAAATTGCAGAGTAGCTTTTATGATACTCAGACCGGCAAACAAGCTGACAGCCCACCTGATGGAAAGTGGTAACCGTCGCCTATACACATGAGCAGTACCATGGACATAACAGAGTATATTGTTTCGTCCATGATACCCCCCATGCGTTGCCATTCCTGAGGACTCAGGTGTTATTCCTCTGTACCCTGTAAATTCACGCCATATCTCACCCTTCAAACCGAAACACAGCCATGCGAACACAACTGCTTCACGGTAGAAACAATAATGGGACAGAGGTGCCCAAGCAGACGACAGGGAAATCACAAAATATACAGGCATCACACCTTAGTTCTCAGAAAGGGCGACATATGTGGGATACCATATCACTATCCCTTTTAAAACATCACCAAAGCCTAACTGCGGTTGCCAACCCGCCTGTGCCAAGCGTGGCAACTACTGGCAAAACCCTCCTTATAGGTGAGGCCTATGTCCAGCAGTGGACAGTTAAAGGCTGATATAATGGTGACGTAGGATACCATGGGCGTCACAGTGTATTTCATGTTATCCACGGTACTGATCATGTGTATAGTCTACGATCACTACTTATCACTCTATCATTTCGTTAGCCATTAAATTTTATAAAAAAAACTAAAATTGAATGCTATGCATGATTCATTTTCATACACACCTCATTTATTTCGGTCTAAATTGGTTTGTTTACCCAAAAATCAGATTTATTCACACAAATTTTGTGTTCACGTCACAATTCGGTCATCAAACTCGCCTACGTCAGCACCGTGACGTCACCCTGACGTCACCCCGAACGGTTCACAATTCACATTCGGAATGCGTTTCGTCTCCAACGTTTGAAATTTCAAATTTAGAACGTGGACGACCGCGTCCACGTCGGCGGTACGTCACCGCTGTGACGTCACAGGTCGCGTCCGTGAAGTCGTTTGGACGCGTCGCAAGTGTACATACAAAATGTATACAAACACATACACCGGTAATTACCTAGGGATATTTGGCAGTTATGACATGCTGAGCGCGCTCACAGTTCCGTCCTGAAAGGAAAATAAAAACAAAAATTAAAAAAATATACATATATATTAATTTATTTTACACTTTATTGCTTCATTTATAATATATATATATATATATATATATATATAGATACCAGAGGGAGACTGTACAAAAGTCGTTTGCTTGGCCACCTCTGCCGCATTCGTGTTTCAACCGTGAAGCAGTTGTATTTGCATGGCTGTGTTTCAGTTTGAAGGGTGGGATATGGCAGTGAATTTACAGGGTACAGAGGAATAACACCTGAGTCCTCAGGAATGGCAACGCATGGGGGGTATCATGGGCGAAACAGTATACTCTGTTATGTCCATGGTACTGCTCATGTCTATAGGCGACGGTTACCACTTTCCATCAGGTGAGCCGTCAGCTTGTTTGCCATTCTAAGTTGTATAAAAAAATAAATGGTGGGCCGTATGCTTGTTTGCCACCTCAGTGGTATAAAAAGAAATATATATATGAATGGGAAGTTGGCTGCCACCGACTGACCGTTAGAGGAAGAGGACGGGCCTGTCGCCGGCTCGCGACGAGCCGCTGGAGTGCGAGCGGTCGCGGCGGGCGGCTGTCCCCACCGTCCCCGGCGTCCCCGCCGCCTCCGCCGCCGACGACCCGCTGGATGCCGACTGCGCCTCGCCCTCCCGACCTGGAAACCAAGACCGTCACATTCACTGCCGGCTGATCAACATACGCTTCACTTAGTAATGGGTTCTGGGGAGAAAATGGCATGGTAACCCCGCCTGCGCTATCGGTATACACTGGGCACCAGTGAGGAACGATAGGTGAGGATGATAAGGCAGGTCAGTTAGGTCATCGTGATGAATACACCTGGAATTCAACACGATGGTTTCCAGGGGGAGACCAGGTGGACGTCGACCTGACAGGGTATACTTCTAGCAACGGGACTGGTAGTCCGCATTACTAACGATCCCTTTCCCCCCTCCCCTATAGACTGCCGTACAGAACAGTGTGGAGCCACCTGTGGGACCACTGTCTGCCTGCCATCCATTTGAGATCATCACTCCATCTGGTGGGTGGGTCGTCCTACATTACATTTGCTTGTAAGGCTTGAGTCACCACTCGAGAACATTTCTTCCCCATCGGTTGTTGGTTCTTCGAGCTATGTGACCAGCCCATTGCCTCACCAGCTTACTTATCCTTCGGGCTATGTCGGATCACTTCGTTCATACAGTTAAAGGTGATTACATATAAATTATAAACATAGATAGTCTCCATACTAATGCTTCGAGAAAGAGAGGGAGACTTTGTACAAAAGTCGTTTGCTTGGATATCTCTGTCCCATTTGTGTTTCTACCGTGAAGCAGTTGTGTTTACATGGCTGTGTTTCGGTTTGAAGGGTGGGATATGGCGTGAATTTACAGGGTACAGAGAAATAACACCTGGGTCCTCAGGAATGGCAATGCATGGGGGGCATCATGGGTGAAACAGTATACTCTGTTATGTCCATGGTACTGCTCATGTCTATAGGCGACGATTACCACTTTCCATCAGGGGGGCCGTCAGCTTGCCATTCTAAGTTGTATAAAAAAAAAACTTTTTATACAATTTTGCGTGACAAATAGTTACGAGCGATTCCTTTATAACTTGTATATTTATTTTGTTTTATAATTTCTGCATCTTTTTAATGTGTAAACACTCATTTTATTTATTGAACAATTAAATATAGATACGTCAAGGTGCATTGTGTGCGTAAGTATATAGAACACTGGTAAGGAAACGAGTCAGCCAACTTGACAATTAGCGAGGGGAAAGGGATTGTTAGTAATGAAGACTGAGAATCCCATTGCTAGCAATATACCCAACCAGGCCGACCTCCTCGCGGTTCTACCTGGAAACTATCATGGTTAATTCCTGATGAATTCATCATGATGTGCTAACTGGCCTGTTTTCATTCTCACCTATCGCCCTTCACTGGTGCCCCGCCAGCGTATCCCGTTAGCGCAGGCGGGGTTGCCATATCATTTTCACACATAAAAAAAAAATTGACAATTAGCTGACAAGAAGTCGACCCGTTTTTGGGGCTCGATGCCTCTACCCGTATAGTCTTAGGGTACACAGTACTCACCGCCTAGCTCTTTAGCGGTGAGGTGGTCAGATCCGGCGCTAGAGCCCCCGCTTCCTGACAGTACGCTCTCCTCGCGGTTGTATCTGAAATCAGAGTTATTTAAACTTGTTAGTAATTGTTAATTTATTTTTATTTATTTATTTCTTTATACAAAGATACATTTTATATTATTTATTAAGATACCAGAGGCAGACTTTGTACAAAAGTCGTTTGCTTGGCCACCTCTGTCCCATTCGTGTTTCTACCGTGAAGCAGTTGTGTTTGCATGGCTGTGTTTCGGTTTGAAGGGTGCGATATGGCAGTGAGTTTACATGGTACAGAGGAATAACACCTGAGTCCTCAGGAATGGCAACGCATGGGGGGTATCATGGGCGAAACAGTATACTCTGTTATGTCCACGGTACTGTTCATGTCTATAGGCGACGGTTACCACTTTCCATCAGGTGGGCCGTCAGCTTGTTTGCCATTCTAAGTTGCATAAAAAAAAATTAGGTAAAGTTACATTACAGGGTTTGGTATTTTTTGTTAAGCAAAGATAGCTTGTTTTTTTTTATACCACTGAGGTGGCTAACAGGCATACGGCCCACCTGATGGTAAGCGGTTACCGTAGCCTATGAACGCCTGCAATACCAGAGGTATTACGCGCGCGTTGCCGACCCTGAAGAAACCTCTTTACCCCTCGTTTGAAGAACCCCATGCTGTAGTCTCTTGGGAAAACCTCGGCAGGGAGCTCATTCCACAACCTGAGCGTTCGCGGAAGACAACACCTCTGAAAGCGAACTGTACGCGACTATTTAGAGTCAAGCGTGTGAGGATGGATCCCATGTACTCTAGGCTTGTACTACCGCCGCCCATGATCACCCGCAACACCAACGGCACTGCAGGTGTGCTGCCGGCCTTTTAAAAAGGAATATGCTCTTTTCTTGAAGGTTACAATGTCGTATCGGTTCGGAAATACTGCTGCTGGGAGTTGATTCCAAAGAGTGGTTATGCGTGGAAGAAAGTGCTTCGAAAAACACACGGTAGAGGACGAAGGAAGACGGGACGGGCCATCATTACATCACTGCTGAACATAAGCCTCCCCCTTGGCAGGGGTTGGCAGCGGTTGCCAAGTTGGCAGCAGTACTTTAAACAACTGTAGTTAGGCTTTAGACATGTTTTAAGAGGGACGTTGCTGCCCGTTCCTCGCTCTCCCCTAGTCGCCTCTTACGACACCCACGGGAAAGGAAGGGGGTGGCTTATTCTATGCCGGGACCACACGGCCAATATATATATAATTATAATAGTTTATTACAATTTATTACTCACCCATATATGGTGTGTTCACTGGTGATGCAGGACGTGTACTTGAAGGGAATCGGCTGATAACCATACGAGCCCGCGTAGGGCATGTAGCCGGGTGCCATCATGCTGCAACAAACGTGTCTACCGTTAAACTGACATGCTCACAGTAATTTTTTATAGCACTGTGGTGGTAAACAAGTATACGGCCCACCTGATGGTAAGCGGTTACCGTAGCCTGTGAACGATGGCAATACCAGGGGTATTACGCGCGTGATGTCGAAATGCTATGACATATGGGAAGTGTTTAATGGACGATAATGGTATGGTAACCCCGCCTACGCTGTTGGTATACGCTGGCGGTGTACCAGGGAAACAGGATAGGTGAGGACGAATGCAGACACCATGGGCCAATGGTGACAAATTCAATAACAATTAACCATGGTGGTTTGAAAAATATGGACTTGACATGATATATATTTATTTATTTAACTCTCTACTGCATCATAAACAAAAATATACAATGACAAGTAAATTTTTTTTTTATACAACTTAGAATGACAAACAAGCTTACGGCCCACCTGATGGAAAGTGATAACCGTCGCCTATAGACATGAGCAGTACCATGCACATAATAGACAATATTGTTTCGCCCTTGATACACCCCTATGCGTTGCCATTCCAGAGGACTCAGGTGTTATTCCTCTGTACCGTGTAAATTCACTGCCATATCCCACTGTTCAAACCGAAACACAGCCATGCAAACACAACTGCTTCACGATGTGTACTTCTCGTTTCTTCGTTTCAATTCTGTAGAGATTTTTTTAGAATTAACATTACAATGTATTTATTTGCTAGAATGAGGTACATTAGAATACAGAGGTACATATATAATATATACACAATTAAATACATACATAACATACACATACTTAACAGCACACATACAACAGAAAAAAAAATGACGAAGGAAAACGAAGATGGAACACAGGAAAATAGTACTAAAGTGAGAGGTAGAGAGTAGAGAATATCAGTGTTTTGCTCTTTTAAGGGCAAAGCAATAAACTGAGCTGTGACCATTTTGTGTTACTATGGCACACGCGTGAAGGAATGGTAACAAAGGAGATTGTTAGATTATGTATTTTGTTTTTGTATTTTTTTTTTTTATTTGTGCTTTTTTTATTTTTATTCTTTTGTCTCTTTTGCTGTGTATTACGTGTATGTTTTTTTATTGTAATTTGTGTGCTGTAAGTAATGTAAATAAATTGTCTATCTATCTATCTAGTAAGATTTAACAGAGGTTTTGAAGCCAGTAACAGTTTGAGCGCACCGAATAGAGGTAGTTAGTGAGTTCCATAGACGAACTGCCTGAACAGTAAAGGATTTAGAATAAAAGGAAGAAGAATGAGTGGGAAATTTGAGTCGGAGGTTATTGACACTGCGTAAAGTATGATCATTAGCCTCACTGAGAAACAAGAATCGGTCTTTTAGATAATCAGGAGCAGCAGGATTAAAAAGGATTGCGTAAAGAGGAGACAATCTTCTGGGCTTTCTTCTTTCTTTGGCCGAGTAGCCTTTTGTGTGAATTTAGTTAGTAGTAGTGTGTGTGGTAGTAGAGAGCGTCGCTCTGGTGAAGTACCTGGGGTTGGGCAGCGGCGCCAGCGTGTCGCTGAGCAGGCTGTCGGCGTCGCCGGGCCGCAGCCGCAGCGCCGCTAGTTAGTAGTAGTGTAGTAGTGTGTGTGGTAGTAGAGAGCGTCGCTCTGGTGAAGTACCTGGGGTTGGGCAGCGGCGCCAGCGTGTCGCTGAGCAGGCTGTCGGCGTCGCCGGGCCGCAGCCGCAGCGCCGCTAGTTAGTAGTAGTGTAGTAGTGTGTGTGGTAGTAGAGAGCGTCGCTCTGGTGAAGTACCTGGGGTTGGGCAGCGGCGCCAGCGTGTCGCTGAGCAGGCTGTCGGCGTCGCCGGGCCGCAGCCGCAGCGCCGCTAGTTAGTAGTAGTGTAGTAGTGTGTGTGGTAGTAGAGAGCGTCGCTCTGGTGAAGTACCTGGGGTTGGGCAGCGGCGCCAGCGTGTCGCTGAGCAGGCTGTCGGCGTCGCCGGGCCGCAGCCGCAGCGCCGCTAGTTAGTAGTAGTGTAGTAGTGTGTGTGGTAGTAGAGAGCGTCGCTCTGGTGAAGTACCTGGGGTTGGGCAGCGGCGCCAGCGTGTCGCTGAGCAGGCTGTCGGCGTCGCCGGGCCGCAGCCGCAGCGCCGCTAGTTAGTAGTAGTGTAGTAGTGTGTGTGGTAGTAGAGAGCGTCGCTCTGGTGAAGTACCTGGGGTTGGGCAGCGGCGCCAGCGTGTCGCTGAGCAGGCTGTCGGCGTCGCCGGGCCGCAGCCGCAGCGCCGCTAGTTAGTAGTAGTGTAGTAGTGTGTGTGGTAGTAGAGAGCGTCGCTCTGGTGAAGTACCTGGGGTTGGGCAGCGGCGCCAGCGTGTCGCTGAGCAGGCTGTCGGCGTCGCCGGGCCGCAGCCGCAGCGCCGCTAGTTAGTAGTAGTGTAGTAGTGTGTGTGGTAGTAGAGAGCGTCGCTCTGGTGAAGTACCTGGGGTTGGGCAGCGGCGCCAGCGTGTCGCTGAGCAGGCTGTCGGCGTCGCCGGGCCGCAGCCGCAGCGCCGCTAGTTAGTAGTAGTGTAGTAGTGTGTGTGGTAGTAGAGAGCGTCGCTCTGGTGAAGTACCTGGGGTTGGGCAGCGGCGCCAGCGTGTCGCTGAGCAGGCTGTCGGCGTCGCCGGGCCGCAGCCGCAGCGCCGCTAGTTAGTAGTAGTGTAGTAGTGTGTGTGGTAGTAGAGAGCGTCGCTCTGGTGAAGTACCTGGGGTTGGGCAGCGGCGCCAGCGTGTCGCTGAGCAGGCTGTCGGCGTCGCCGGGCCGCAGCCGCAGCGCCGCCAGCTCCGCGCACAGCTCGCCCGCCACGTAGTAGCACTGCTCCGAGAACGTGATCTTGTTCACCGTGTGCCGGATGAAGCCCGCCTGCAGGGGGGAAAGGGACTGTTAGTAATGGACACTGAGATATACCATTGCTAGCAATATACCCAACCAGGTCGATCTCCTCGCGGTTTCCCCTGGAAACTATCATGGTTAATTCCTGATGAGTTCATCATGACGGGCTAACTGGCCTGTTTTCATTCTCATCTATCACCCTTCACTGGTGCTCCGCCGGCGTAACCCGTTAGCGCAGGCGGGGTTACCATACCATTTTCACCCATAAAAAAAAAAGCCCGCTTGCAACACCGTACAGTATCCGTATCCTCTTTTTTTAACGTCAGGAAAAATGCATCATGCAGACCCACACAGGTTAGGGCCCGTGTGGGTACTGCCGGACTCCTACCGGCTAAACAACCTGACGATATACCTCCTAGTCTCTTTAACGAGGGGACCCTTTCGTAGTCTACCACGACATTGCCAGAGACCCACCAAAGGGTAGCTCTGCTCAGGTGTGCAGGGTAGTCACAGTATATCCTACCATCACCATACTTCATACACCTAGATGACCACAGACCATAGTTCAGAGATAGATGACCTAGACCCGTGTTTCCCAACCATTTGTCCCATTCCCCACTTGAACAATTCTAAAATTTTCATGCCCCCCACACATAATTTTCCCCGACAAAGTTTACTTGACGACTCTAATCGCCCAGTTGATATTTTGGTAACGTCAAACGAAATTATACCTAATAAATATTTACAGCATTTTTTTCAATTTACTTTTTTTTTTGTTAAATTTGACACCGATATCTGCTCGTAGCATTACATTTAAATGGCCCGGAGCAAGAGGGTTAAAATCGCTTCATTTTTAATTGCCCCCCGCTCCATAACTATCAAATTGTCCCTCTGTGGGGCTTGGACCCCACGTTGGGGAATATCGAGCCAACCTGTCCCTTTCACCCTGTATATATATATATATATATATATATATATATATATATATGTATGTATATCATATGTATATATGTCACCTTGAGCATATGTGAGGCGTATTTGCGAGCGTCGCGGCGGTCGTTGATGCCGGCCACGTGCTGCAGGATCCACTCCACCACGTCCGCGCCGATGAAAGCATTCGGGATCGTGATCTTCAGCCACATGCGGTCGCGGATCTCCAGGCCTGGAGCATTTATTTATTTATATATTTATTTTACTTTCTGTTTAGCTCCACTGCTGCCCTATTTCACTGCGTTAGGTTGACTGGATGAGATCTCTTTTAGAGATAAGTTCGCCTTTGCTAACATTGTTATTGACTTGTTACTGTATGTTTTAGTGTATATATATATATATATATATATATATATATACACTAAAACATACAGTAACAAGTGTCCCCTGTACCCAGTAAATTCACGTCAAATGAGTCCTCAGGAATGGCAACGTATGGCGGGTATCATGGGCGAAACAGTATACTCTGTTATGTCCATGGTACTACTCATGTCTATAGGCGACGGTTACCACTTTCCATGAGGTGGGCCGTCAGCTTGTTTGCCACTCTATGTTGTATAAAAAAAAAAGAATTAAACTCGTATGTCGAGGTAGCACTGTATATATTTATTTATTTAAAAAAAATACATCAACAATGTAAATACAGACTTTAATTTTGATTGATGTACAGGGCTTGCATCTTGCATTTACACCACACACAGACGTACACAACATTTTTTAAAACATCGATTTGACATTAATAAAACTGACACTAACAAAAAGATAAAAAAAAAAATACCAGCGATAACATAAGAATACGTGGTAGAATTATTAAAACACTAGCGGCCCGTCCCGGCGTCGCACATTTTTACATATTAAAAAGTGGCCATTAAGGCTGCACACGCGACGGAAGCTTAAAAATGTAGTAACTTCTCCCGTTTTCCCAACATTGCCCTTCACTGCTCCGCTCCCATTGATCGTAGCGTGATGAAAAGTATACTATAACCTGCCCGGGAGTATGAAGAATAAATGTACCGAGTTTCGTTAAAATCCGTCGAGTAGTTTTTGTTTCTATAACGAACATACAAAAATTTTACTGATTGCATTTTTGGCATCAGTATCGATCACTAATCACCCGCTGATAGTTATTTTGGAAATATATTTCATGTACAGAATTGACCTCTCCACAGATTTATTGTAAGTATAGATAGATAATTATTAGTTAAAGAAATTATTGTAAGCATTATGGGAGTGGAGGAGGAGGGAGGGAGTCATTCGGAAGTTATCCTGAATCACTTGACTTGAAATAAACAGTCGGGTGCTATTCTGGCCGGCGGATGGAGGCGGGCAGGGGCACTCAGTTTAGTGGGTCTGGCCGAGGGTTTCATCCTCACCTATCATCTGTTTCTGGTGTCTCGTCGGCGTATACCAATAACGGGTATGGGGTTACCATTTCGTTCTCACTTATAAAAAAATAGACTAGCGGATATTTTTTTTTATACCACTGTGGTGGCGAACAAGCAAACGGCCCACCTGATGGTAAGTGGTTACCGTAGCCTATAAACACCTGCAATACCAGAGGTATTACACGCGCGTCGCCGACCCTGAAGAAACCTCTTCACCCCCCTTTTGAAGAACCCCATGCTGTAGTGTCTCGGGGAAACCTTGGCAGGGAGGTCACTCCACAACGTGAGTGTTTATTTATTTATTTTATTTATTCATTAGTACATATATGTGTACATGGCGGACTTGATGCTGAAAGCATTCTCTCCCAGTCAAGGAAGTGGCAGAATACTCGAATGCGGTACTAGTAATTATTGATATACATACATACTAAAATTACATATATAAACGAATAGATATATATAAATAACAAATATACTTACACATATATGACATATACTATATTGTACACGAAATTGAGAATAATATAAAGTACTTACTGCTCGGATAAAAATAAAAAGTGTGCGTTAACGCTTTTTTTGAAAGATGGTTTAGTCGGTAGTCTCTTAATGGCATCAGGAAGCGCGTTCCAGAGTCGTGAAGAATGTAAAAGAAAAGAGTTTGAAGCGTAACCAGTACGGTGAGAGGAGAAAGATAATTGGAGAGTATTATTGGAACGAAGGTTACGTTCGTGAGTTTCAAAAAGATAATGGAATTTACTCCTTAAGTAGTTAGGAGACTGGGGGTTTCGAAGAAGAGTGTAGAGGGTACAAAGAGTTCTAACGTTTCTGCGTTGACGAATGGAAAGCCACTTGAGCTGAGACCGATATAAAGAAATGTGATCGAATTTGCGGAGGTTGAAGATAAAGCGTATGGCTTGGTTATACACGGTTATATTATACACGAATTTGGGAATAATATAAAGCACTTGAAACCTGAAGAGTGTTCGTGCGTAGCGCGTGAAGGAGGACGGGGAGCGTGACTGACCTGAGTCGGGGCGTAGCATGGCCCGCACGACGAGCGCCATGTCCATGCCGACGGACAGCGCGGCGTCGGCCGCCAGCGGCAGCGTGGACGCGTCCGACGGCGGCACGGGTGGCGCGGGTGGCGCGGCGGCCGCTGCCGGCGGCGGCGGGTACGCCTCGCGCAGAGCCTGCGTGTGCGCCACCCACGCGCCTGTCGCACAACCCACCGCTTCACATTAACCCCCATACCTCTATAGAAAACTCTCCTAGTACTCATTCCCCTGGAAACCGTCCCGCCTTTATCCTGGCGCATTCGTACACTGTAAGCCAGTCGACTTGACTACATACTCATCTATCTTCATTGACTGATACTCCACTAGAGTGGGGGGGAAAGGGATTGTTAGTAATGGAGACTGAGAATCCCATTGCTAGCAATATACCCAACCAGGTCGACCCCCTCGCGGTTCCCCCTGGAAACTATCATGGTTAATGCTTGATGAATTTATCATGATGGGCTAACTGGCCTGTTTTCATTCTCATCTATCACCCTTCACTGGTGCTCCACCGGCGTATCCCGTTATCGCAGGCGGGGTTACCGTACCATTTTCACTCGACAAAAAAAACTTGACTAGAGTAGGGAGAGGAGAAAACGGATTGTTAACACATTGACCGCTTTGTCAGTCACGTGTGACTGACACATAAAAATCCTCATAATTTCTCATAAAAATACATCGAAGTAAATAATCATATCTTTACATAATGTATTCAATATACCTTAAAAACAAAGATTTTTTATGAAAACAACTTGTTGACAGAGAATGTGTTAATAATGCTAGCAATACACCCTATCAGGTCAACCTCCACGCGGTTCCCCCTTGAAACCATCATGGTTAATTCTTGTCGAATTCTTCACGATCGGCCGACTGACCTGCCATTTCCTCTTCACCTACCATGTTTCCCTGGTACCTCGCCAGTGTATACTGATAGCGCGTGTGGGGTTACCATTTCATTATCACCCATTAAAAAACTCCACTAGAGTATACTGAAATTATACACTATTTTACCATTCTATTTTCACTTCACAAAAAAAACTAACATACATCCGAGAAGTATAGGAGATCTGGTGATCCTATTGCTAGCAAAACACTGGCTGTTTGTTTGAAAGGTGGGATATTGCGTGAATTTACTGGGTACAGAGGAATAACACCCGAGTCCTCAGGAATGGCAACGCATAGGGGGTGTCATGGGCGAAACAGTATACTCTGTTATGTACATGGTACTGCTCATATCTGTAGTCAACGGTTACCACTTTCAATCAGGTGGGCCGTCAGCCTGTTTGCCATTCTAAGTTACCTTAAAAAACTATCAATATAATCACACTGGCAACGTTGCAACCAGAGACTCACCAGGGTCTATGGGCCGGACGGGCTCCGTCCGGGGTATCGTGAAGTAACCCTTGGGGTTGGGGTCCCAGCACTTGGCGACCACTAGCTTGATAGGGCCGGGCTTCTGTACCACTTCGCGGAGAACGCGTACCGCCTCGTCGTTTGTCATGTCTTCAAAGTTTACATCGTTCACCTGTAAAACACGAGGCAAATATCAATGTTAACAAATTCATAAGCCATTACAAGCAATAATTTTTATTTTCTATTGACCATATTTTCAGTTTTTTTTTTTAAAAGTTAATATCATTTAGTCCCTTTTTTATGCAACTTAGAAAGCTGCAGCCCACCTGATGGAAAGTGGTAACCGTCGCCTACAGACATGAGCAGTACTACGGACATTCCTGAGGACTCGGGTGTTATTCTTCTGTACCCTGTAAATTCACGCCATATCCCACCCTTCAAACCAAAACACAGCCATGCAAACACAACTGCTTCACGGTAGAAACACGAATGGGACAGAGGTATCCAAGCAATCGACTTTTATACAAAGTCTCCCTCTGGTGAGGGTGGCAAGAACCCATTTCATTTGTGAAAATATCGCCTATAATTTATCTGTGAAATATAGGGCACTGTAATTCTCTCTGCGACCAGAGCACCTCCTCGCGGTGATGGTGGTAACAGTAAAAGTTTAAACTTTGATCCAAGTCTCTGGAAATATGTTATGGCAAGGAGATTTAGTGATATAATGCGTTCTGATACCTGCAAAAATGGGGCTCGAACCGTAGGCTGTTGCGATCGCATAGCAACTATTATTTGGTATTTAGGGTATACAAGACATCTGACACAGCCAATAAAGCTTACATCAACAGAAATGGGAGACATATTTTTAAGATATGACAGTTTTTTTTTGATGGGTGAAAATGGTATGGTAACCCCGCCTGCGCTAACGGGATACGCTGGCGGAGCACCAGTGAAGGGTGATAGATGAGAATGAAAATAGACCAGTTGGCCCATCATGATGAATTCATCGGGAATTAACCATGATAGTTTCCAGGGGGAACCGCGAGGAGATCGAACTGGTTGGATATATTGCTAGCAATGGGATTCTCAGTCTCCATTACTAACAATCCCTTTCCCCCCAAGATTTGACAGTTCTGATGAAGAATCTTCACAGATATAAATGTCAAGGAAGTCATCAATGTTGGGTTGCCCACTTTCAATAACAATTAAACTATTTTTCCATAACTGTACTCGTGAACCCGTAACCGTTATTACGCGATTTATCAATGGACACACCATGGCCCAAATCGGTACACGGTTCTTTGGGTTCTTTTTTTTTTAATGGGTGATAATGGAATGGTAACCCCATCCGCGCTATCGGTATACACCGGCGGAGCACCAGTGAAGGATGATAGGTGAGAATGAAGCAGATCAGTTAGCCCATCGTAACGAATTCAACAAGAATTGTTCACGATAGTTTCCAGGGGGAACCACGCGGAGATCGACCTAATAAGGCATATTGCAGCAATGGGGCTGTCAAACTCCATTGCTAACAATCCCTTTCCCCCCCCCCCCCCGTTCTTTGGGTTGGCAATAGTTCTCATTTCTTACTGAATTGTACATTTTATTCTTCTAATATTAAATAATAAAATAATGTACAAAATACACGTATGAAAAAGACTGGAAATCTATAGACAATAGGGAAAGTTTAAACAATCTTGAGAGATTCCAAAAGTAAAGAATGTGTATATTTTATATATATATATAAACATGTGAACTCTGTATTAATTGTAATGTATGAAATATTACATTTATTTATTAATTTATTTTATACAACTTAGAATGGCAAACAAGCTGACGGCACACCTGATGGAAAGCAGTAACCGTCACCTATCATGTAGTAGTACCGTGGACACAACATGACCTGATGCTATATACCCATATTGCTAGCAAAGGGACTGGTAGTCCAAATTATTGCCAATCTCTTTCCACATGGCTAAGTATTATTATATTTATTTTTATTAATAGAGTAAAAGATAGATTTTTTATTTTTATTTTTTTAATTTATTTTATTATTATATTTTTACATATATTAAATGAATAAGTGGTTGAGCAATTATAATAGTTTATATGTTGTAATGTAAATAAGTGACTGTTACCCCTTAGTGAAGCCATCAGCTGGTGACTGTTACCCCTTAGTGAAGCCATCAGCTGGTGACTGTTACCCCTTAGTAAAGCCATCAGCTGGTGACTGTTACCCCTTAGTAAAGCCATCACTTGGTGACTGTTACCCCTTAGTAAAGCCATCAGCTGGTAACTGTTACCCCTTAGTAAAACCATCAGCTGGTGACTGTTACCCCTTAGTAAAGCCATCACTTCATGACTGTTACCTCTTAGGAAAGCCATCAGCGTGTGTGCCATTGAATGCCCAAAATACACAGTTCATATATTGATCTTATTTTTTAATGAGTGATAATGGTTTATTTTGTATGGTCCCAACATAGAATATTACATATTCTATGTCACCCCTTCCTTTCCCATGGGTGTTGTAACTATAAGGCAACTAAGAGAACTTAATGGTCCAGGGATAGACAGCAGCATTCCTCTTAAAACATCACTGAAGCCTAACTGCAGTTGCCATTCTGTCTGCCAAACGTGACAACTAGTGACAAAATCACTCTTAGGGGTGAGACCTATGTCCAGCAGTGGACAGTAGATGACTGATTTAATGATGATAAAGGTTTAGTATGAGTTTCAATGAGTGGAAAGGAATTGGAACTGAAAGGGAATATTGACAGTGATGGGGCTGCCAGTCCCCACAGCCAACAATCCCTTCCTCTCGAACTTCTATATATTTTAACACAACTGGTAAACATCCATATCTGACAAATTAAACAATCAATGACCATGTTAACAGTGGATTAATTTGGCCCCCCTGAGCAGCCCTGATCGTAATATAGGAAATTGGTAGTAGCACTCACCAGTATTAAGCAACGCCGGGATCGGGATCAGTATTAAGGAAGACCAGGATTAGGATTTTGGTTACCTACACTAGCTTATATTAGTCAGTTAGCAAGTTCAGTCAATGTTCATAGTATGTAAGACAAAAGGGTAATCTGTCATTCTTTATTCCATTATATTTTTTATTTTAGCAGAGTAGTATTTTAGTACCAAAGGGAGACTTTGTACAAAAGTCGATTGCTTGGGTACTTCTGTCCCATTCGTGTTTCTACCGTGGAGCAGTTGTGTTTGCATGGCTGTTTCGGTTTGAAGGGTGGGATATGGCAGTGAATTTACTGGGTACAGAGGAATAACACCTGAGTCCTCAAGAATAGCAACACATAGGGGGTATCATGGGCGAAACAGTATACTCTGTTATATCCATGGTACTGCTCATGTATATAGGCGATGGTTACCACTTTCCATCAGGTGGGCCGTCTGCTTGTTTGCCATTCTAAGTTGTATAAAAAAAAATTTTTTTACATTGACATGAGCTGCTGGGATGCATATTGCCAGCCATTGAACCAAGGAGGTTCTTAACAGATTGTACTAGTAAAAATGACTTACCTGTAATATCATGTCTCCAGGTTCTATCCTGCCGTCCAATGCCACAGCACCACCCTTCATTATACTTCCAACATATATTCCACCATCACCACCCTTATTCGACTGTCCCACAATTGATATACCTAGAAAATTCACTGTGTCCATATTCAAAGTGACAGTTATTATATGCATAGACATCGTCGAGTCGGTTATAGAGGAATATGACGAGGTCCTGGACATCACTTGAGGCCTTTTCCGTCTTCGTTGCGGTCTCTTTCGAGAGCTGACTTGCAAATGAGACACACTACTGCATTCTGTTAGTGCTCTGTCCACAGACGCGTTGGTATGCCGGCCGGTGGTCGTGGTAATCTCCGACTGACTGTCAAACAAGCTCGTCGAGTCCAAATCCGAACTTAGAACTGACGCAGTCTCGTACTCCAGCCCATGGTTCCCGTATTTGGAGTGACCGTTTATCCGTAATCCTCTATACTTGTATTTATCACAGGACGCTCTGTGGCCTGGCCGCGAGCTGATCGTGCTGTCCGTATCCGTGCAGGTATCCCTGGTGAGCGGCGCGGTCGCAGCACCATGGTTGTTTTGTTTAGTTTTCCCCGGATTACTATCGGTACATTGCGACGCGCCGTCGGACGGGTTCGAGCCCTCAGCAGACACCAGCCACGACACCACACGACCGTTGAAACACGGCAGATGCGCATTATCATCCACTATCTCCTCTTTCACTACACCGAAATCATCGTCCATGGATTTGAAGAAAAATTTGTAGTTCGGCCTGTTTAGCTGATTCTTAAAGTCTAACAACGTCACTTTCTCCGGCGATATGGGGATCTTCACTAAATACGGCGTCTCCTCGTCGTCTATATAGTAAATAACTTTCGTTTCCTCCATTTTAATGCATTTAATAATAAATAACAACACCCTCAAGATCTATAAATATCAGCCGCCATCACAAAAATGGCGATAAAACTAGTTCTCAAAATTGACAGTACGTGGCGACACTGCTGCTTTTGTTTTCAATAGTGTTCGGATATGTTATCAAATAAATATTATAATTATTTAGAAGGTACTATTGTTTTATTATTATAATTATGTTCCATTCATTAAAAATATACAGTATTAAAATAATTAAACTTACTAATTACTTTAATTTTTTATTAAATTTGAGCAATTTAAAATTTTATTAGAAATACCAAACTAAATACAAATATGTTTTGGAGCAGTTATAAAAATATGTAATCAATTAAAATTTTAACATTAATAATTTTGTAATTATTAAATAGAAAATGATATTTTGTAATGTTAGGTTCTTTGTTTCTGTTTACTATGCATTGTATCGGCTTTTATTTAATCTGTCATTACATCATGAAATGTCATAAGATTTATGTTGTTGCTTGGTACCCAAAGCCGTAAACGTTTCCAAATAAGAAAAAGAACATTCGAAATTTGAAATTTGTCGTTGTTTTGTTTGCATTTTTTAAACGATTTATCCGGATCATTTAATCCTAAGTTTAATGATATTATAATTTTTAATAAACTAAAATGGGAGGTGATATAAAAGAACAGTGGTTTTCACTCATTGTAGAGCAATTAGATGCTTTCTGTAACCGCGTCGATGGTATTTATTTTCCATTTATTTGTTTTACACTAACTTTTAACGCATACTTTGTAACAATATTTTTAATTTTTAGAGAAAATAGCTAAAGAACAACAGCAATTGAAAGAATGTAAAAAGAAGACAGAATTAGAAACAAAATTAGCTCATGAAATGAAGCTGAACGTAAGTATTAAAGATAAAGATAAATTTATTTGCAAACATGTGTACATAGTAAGTGCAAAGACATACTTGTTGTTCATTGTAGGATTTGTATAGTCCTAACATGTTTTGCTAACATTAGCGTGCAAAATATTATTTCAAGGACAGTGGCAATTTCAAGTGCCTTATAAAGCAAATCCATGCCTTCTATCTATCCATGCCTTACAAAACATATTAATATTTTGTGAAGATTAGATATAAACTAAATAAAAAGTCAAATGGAATTACAATGTCAATAGCAAATGTCGAAAGAGAAACATATTAAAGGTTGTCATTTAAAAATTCGTCAATATTATAATAACATTTGTCAATCAGTAGCATTTTAAGTTTTTTTGTTCTGAACTGGCTGATAGAATCATGGGAAATGACTATTCAAAAATGCTTAAAAATATGTTTTATATCAGCCTTTAACTATCCATTATTGAACAGAAGCCCCCTTAGGGGGTTTTGCCACACTTTGCGGGCGGGTTGGCGACCGCAATTAGGCTTTAGAAATATTTTAAGAGGGACGCTGCAGCCCATCCTTCGCCCACCCTTATTCGATTCTCACGACATCCACTGGAAAGAGGGGTGGCCTATTTTAGCGGCGACCACATGGCCATTTTTTATTTTATTAGGAAATTTATATAATAATAATATTTCTTTATTTATAGATTACAAAGATCCATTTTTGTTAGTAACAATTGACTTAAACTATGTTAGTAGTAAAAACAAAAATACAAAATTCATTTTATGGCCCCTATAATAATTTTGACCCACAATGAGAGGATCCGGCTATCATATCGACCACCGCCGCCAAACTAAAAAGCTTTCAGAGACTGTTTTGCTCTTCTGTCAGCGGCTGCATGAAAACAGCTCCTACAACAGCAATAGAGTTGGCCCTCAACATAACACCCCTAGACCTGCACATACAGCAGGAAGCGGCGTTAGCCGCTATCCGACTAATGCATCTGGATCTATGGGGTAAAAATCACTACAGTCCCCACACTTCTATTCTGAACCAGGCAATCGAATATGAACCTTTGATTGCGGCTCCGTGCGACAGGACTCATAATCATTATATATTTAACAAAAAATACCAAATACAAATTCAAGAAGAGGAAAAGGACCAATCCGGTGTACATGAATTACGCATATACACCGATGGCTCCAAAACCGAGAACGGTTCAGGAGCCGGAGTCTTTTCCTTAGACCTGAATATAAACGTGCACATACCGCTTGGCGTACACAGCTCAATATTCCAATGCGAATGTGTTGCAATAACCGAGGCTGCTGCAGCTGTACATAAGCTAGGAATAAATGGTTTTAGCATTAGATTCTTATCTGACAGCGCAGCAGTACTAAAAGCATTACGAAACAACAAGACAAACAACAAATTGATAATTGAATGCCACCATTCACTGGATAGGATATCTTCCAATAACCGAGTTATCCTCCAATGGATAAGAGGGCACAGTGGATCTTATGGTAACGATGCCGCAGACGAACTGGCTAGAAGAGGCTCAGGAACGAGGGTGGTAGGCCCGTATCCACTTCTTCCTCTTCCGTTCTCGCAATTTCGAATGTGGATTCGTCAAAGATCCGCTGACATACAAAACCAAAGATGGATACAGGCTACTGATTGCAGACAATCAAAATTGGCCGTACCTACGTTGAATCAACGACTATCAAAACGTTTATTACATCTAGATAGAAAAAACCTCAAAATAATGATAGGGACAATAACGGGTCATTGTCCATTAAACAAACATTTATACACAATAGGAGCCACAGACAGCCCTCTATGTCGAGGCTGTTTCGACGCTGAAGAAACGGCTGCTCACGTAATCCTGGAATGTGAGGCTGTGGCCCATCAACGTTTAGAAATCCTCGGAACGGTGAGGTCGCTCTGTGAAGCCTGTGAAGAACCCAGGAAGCTTCTGCGCTTCTGGGCGGAGCTAGGTTGGCTGTACTAGCCACGACTCACACGCACAACGGCCCAAATGGGAGGCTAAGTGCGGAAAACAGAGTCTTTCTTACATTACATTATTACATTCCGGCTATCATATTTATTACACAATGTCCACAGATCGATCCGTTTGCGTCTGATGGCATAGAAGTCATCTGTCCATGCCGCTGCAAACATTGTGGATGCACTACAAAAATGTGGCAGCCGTAACAACACCCTGAAAACATTATTGTATTGATTATTTATGTTTATTTGACTGAAATCTTTGTTTTCCGTTTCAGTTGGAACTCACTGAGAGGCTAGCGGAGCTGTCCCGCCGCGGGGGCGAGCTGGACCGTGTGTGCGCCACTCTGAGCACGCTCTCCATCACAGACAGCGACAGACACCGTCTGGAAAATGCCAGGTACACCTCACCAACTATACCTAACTCAACAAGCTGGGGGGAAAGGGATTGTTAGTAATGGAGACTGAGAATCCCATTGCTAGCAATATACCCAACCAGGTCGACCTCTTCGCGGTTCCCTCTGGAAACTGTCATAGTTAATTCCTGATGAATTCATCATAATGGGCTAAGTGGCCTGCTTACATTCTCATCGATCACCCTTCACTTGTGCTCCGCCAGCGTATCCCGTTAGCGCAGGCAGGGTTACCATACCATTTTCACCCTTCAAAAAAAAAAACTCAACAAGCTGTAGGGAAAGGGATTATCAGCAGTGGGGTTTGACAGCCCTATTTCTAGCAATATGCCCTATTAGGTTGACCTCCACGTGGTTCTCTATGGAAATCATCGTAAACAATTCTAGTGGAAATCGTCACGGTGGGCTAACTGACCTGCTTTCATTGTCACCTATCACCCCTCATTGGTGCCCCGCCAGCGTATATACTGTTAGCGCAGGCGGGTATGAATAAATATCTTTTCAAGTCTATTTGCAGGTGGCTCAGGACCGTTCTTTATGGCAGTCTATAGGGGAGTCCTATGTCCAGCAGTGGACGGATAATGGCTGATATTTTTTTTATACCACTGAGGTGGCAAACAAGCATACGGCCCACTTGATGGTAAGCGGTTACCGTAGCCTATGAACGCCTGCAATACCAGAGGTATTACGCGCGCGTTGCCAACCTTGAAGAAACCTCTTTACCCCCCTTTTGAAGAACCCCACGCTATAATGATGATGTTGATTTTGTCCCCAGGGAGACACATGAGCTGGCGAAAGAACTCACCAGCATTCGACTGGACTTCAGCGCTCCACCGCACATAGCGAAGGGATGTATCCTTTTTTATTTTTTGAAGGAAAAAATATTTACAAGTCACATGGCGAGGCATGCAAAGTTTCAAAAGCTAAAAAGTGTAAATGTTGATTGAATTATTAATTTAAAACGTGTTTGCGCGTTTCTTTAATTTTATACATTTTTCGTAATTATATTATTATAAATTTATTCTTATTAATAATACGCTAGTTCAATAAACATAATAATAATCGGTACCTAGTGCTAAATTCATTTCCCTTGATCCTATCCTATCCAATCAGCGTCAACGTCTTCACCTCCGAGTTACAACAACCAATGAGGACGCTGGAAGATTATAAGAAACTTCAGAGCTGTCTTCAATCCTAACCGTCAATGTGACCTCCGCAATCGATGAGCAACTACGTGTATAAAAAAAAATATTAATAACATTGTTGTGCTGTAAACTGTAAACATTTGAAGTGTTGCCGCTTACATAATTTGAAGTGCTGGGTGTATAGACAATATTTTAGTGTGTGTACATTGGTGACAAAGTGACGGAAGGAATCAAGGCGCCTGCACAGGACGTCATATGATAGTCCACGACAAGACGGCGAGTCCTTATATCCTTTCGTTATCCCTGCCACACCTAGACTTCTCTCCTATAAAACCCACCAAAACAGTTTGTAATGTTATATAAAAAATATACATTTAAAACTTTTAAGTAATATTATAAAGACATAAAGTTTTTTTTTTATGTAATTTATAATGGCAAACAAGCTGACGGTCCACCTGATGGATAGTGGTAACCGTCGCCTATAGACACGAGCAGTACCATGGACATAACAGAGTATACTGTTTCGCCCATGATACCCCCCATGCGTTGCCATTCCTGAGGACTCGGGTGTTATTCCTCTGTACCCTGTAAATTTACTGCCATATCCTTTCAACTGAAACACAGTCATCCAAACAACTGTTTTGCGGTAGAAACACGAATGGGACAGAGGTACCCAAGCAATCCACTTTTATACAAAGTCTCCCTCTGGTTAGTTATTCATAACAAAAGAATCTACCTTGATCTATAAGAAAAATAAAGAATATTTATTTATTCATTAGTACAAATATGTGTACATGGCGGACTTAATGCTAAAAGCATTCTCTCCCAGTCAAGCGTAGGGAAGTGTCAGAATACACGAATGCGGTACTAGTAATTATTGATATACATACATACTAAAATTACATATCGCATGCTTAATGTAATACTGACTCTTTAGTAGATAGGTCAGAATTGAGTTACTTACAGATGTAGGCTTCTGTTACCACTATCTACCGTCTACCTTTTGAATTATGTTGAAATTACGCATTGTTGCCACCCCTGCAATATATCCGTCTCTTTCACATTTGTGGGATCTCTCTTCGTATTTTCGTCAAACAGAGACTCACGCCAGTTTGTGTCCAGCACTTGTAGAGAGAGGTTATTATAGTTTTATTGAACGAAGACCCAATCATTATTGAGTGTGTTTACGACTAAATTTGAAGTAAGTTTTATCCAATTTTGTAATCTTATATTGACAGATTAAATTTGAGGTCAGTTTAATAGATATTTTACTAATATATTACGTGAAACATTCTGTTTTAAGACAATTTAATATTATACGTTATTATATCTTTTGGGAGCTATTAAGATTTAAGTCAGTTTACTATTAAAACAATCCATTACTTGAGGTAACACTTTATAGCATTCGAGTATAAGTCTGTTTACCACTGAAAGTTATTTTTACTTAGGGGCCATAATATTAGTTTAGTCTTTGTTTGAAAAAAAGAATGGAATATAATGCGTAACTTTTTGCTTTTCCTGTAAATATTTTATATTAAGTCATTGTTGATCTAAAAACTACTTACAAAAATTTTTTATTGTCCCAGAGGCATAATATGACTATTTATATTTTAGGTTGATAATGTCGCTGAATAGCTCGAAAAAGATAATAGAACTTATTCGGACTCGAAATCCGGCGCCACTATTGGCAACACAAGATAAAGGACACGAATCAGTGCCATCAACAGAAGTGACGGTAACAATTTTAAAGAACTTTAAAAATTAGGTTCGTATATTTCTTATTTATTTTAATATATTACTAAAATACGTTTTATTATTGTAGATGTTAACTGATATAACAAACAATCCCGAAAATCAGCATTACTCAAACGTACAGGAATATTTTGAAGTTTTGGAATCACCTTCAATTAACAATGAAAATGACTTTCATAACATCACAGACATCCACGATTGCACTGATGAAAAACATTCCAAATCTGAAAATAGCGATGTCGATTTGAGCGATCAAGATTCGACATACATTCCAACTAAAAAGAAAAAGCAAATACCAGTATATCCAAGTCGATCAAGATCATCAGGGAGCTCCTCATCTTCTACATGTTCTTCATCCTCATCATCTTCAGGATCTTCGAGTGATAGTTCCGATACAGACTCCAGTAATGAACAAAACAAAATAAAAAATAACATTATTCAGCAATCAGCAAAACAATCGGAGCAAAGAAACATTAATGAACCTACAATAACCGAAGTTGCGAAAAATCAGGAAATCAGACAATATACTACATTACTAGAAGAAAATGAAGGCGAGAAGAAGGGAAGGAAACGTAAACGGAAAGAAGAAAGCTGGAAACAGAATAAAGCTAAAAGTCTGAGAAATGCAGGAAAATCATACATCAATATGAAAAATAAAACAATTAATCCTCGTTCTGTTCAACTACCCTGTGGTATTCAATGTAGACTCAAATGCTGTAAAAAGATAACTGCAGATCAAAGACAAACAATTTTTGATATGTATTGGAATCTCGGCCAGGTTGATGCTCAAAGATCATTCATTATGTCTTGTATGACTAATATAAACCCAAAATATAAATATACAAATGCTAGTAATCCAAGAAATTGCAATAAAGCTTTCCATTTCGTAGTAGAAGGGCAGTCTGTTCGAGTCTGTAAAACGTTTTTTATAAAAACCTTAGATATTTCTGATCGTGTTATACGAACTGTCAGAAGCAAAATAGATGAACATGGAATTCTAGCACAAGATCTGAGAGGACAGCACAACAACCATGCAAGAGTTGATAAACAACTACTAAACGATATTAAAGAGTTTATAGATTCGATACCAAGAATTGAATCCCATTACATTAGGCAATATTCTACTCGTGAGTATATTGATGGCGGGAAAACAATTTCAGATCTTTTCAGAGACTTTAAAGTAGCTCAAAATGAAAATAACAAAGCAGCTGGTAGATATTGTACATTTTATAAAGTATTTACACAAGATTATAATATATCATTTTTTCGTCCCAAAAAAGATCAATGCGATTTATGTTTGCAATATAATAACACGACGCTTCAGCAAAAAGTATTACTTAATGATTTGTACAATGCCCATTTAGAAGAAAAAACATTGAGCCGCCAAGAAAAATATAATGATCGCTGCAAAATAGATGATGGAAATAAAGTTCTTGTGTTTGATCTACAAGCTGTTTTGCAATCTCCTAGAGGAAATAATTCAGCATTTTATTACAAATCAAAATTTGAAAAAACTTCAAGAAGATTGGGGTGTTAACTTTAATAAAAGTAAAAACGGGACTACTGTTTTATGGAATGACATAAAGGTGATAATGGTGAAAAAAGATACACCTTTTTCATTTTTCATTAAAACTTCGTACAAACATAACGTATACCAGGAAGTAAGCATCAGAAATACAAGGAAGAAAATGCTTCCTCTGCTTCTAATTAAACTAACTAATGCCTACATACAAAAGAAAGAGCTAAGTGAGAACAAAAAGAAAGATCTGAGAGAGCTTTTATCAAAAAAAATTATTCCAAATTTTTATTTAGATTTTTATAACTCTATTCTTTAATAGTGTACCCACCTTATAATTAATAAATTAACTTAAGATTAATAAAACAATGATTACATACCAAAGTTATTTAAAAAAATCTAAAAAGTTTAATTATGTTTTCTTTATAAGTTTTGATTTTGTTTTATAGTAATTTAACTAAACTTGATTAATACATTGATTTATTTTATAGGTTTAATAACCAAAGTGTGTATATTTTTTAAGTTTGTTAAAACTTTTATGTTCTAATATAGAAATTTTGTTTTATAATTTCAATTCAAACAAGCAATTCTTTTGCTTTTTTTTGCATTATTTTTATGTTGATTTATAGAACCAATAAATAAAATTGAGACGTCAAATTTGTTATTTGTATGTGCTACTGATAAAGAATATTGCAATAAAAGTTTATTATTTATATTAATGTCTTTTAATAATTTGAAAATGGCTGGTATTAAGTTTATCGACAGTCTGCTAATTTGAATAAAATGACCCATTCTCTAAATATGTTTTCCCAATGTAATCATATATAGACTAAATCCTAAATTAGTTATTATAAATAATTAATAATTTAAAATGAAACAGGCTTAAAACCTAATAGAATACTTGCATTTAAAAATGTTTGCTTTACTTTTTATAAAAAACTGACTTAACTTAGAATGTACATTTTACATATTTTTTTTTAAATAGATAGAAATTATTTTCGGCATTTGTTTTTACTTGGTATTGATCAATAGTTAATCATATTTTTAAAATACAATCATTCATGGTTAATTAATAATCCGTTTTAATGTTATTCATCAACAAGTAGGCTAAGTCCTTATAGCAAAATCTTCTTTTGCGATTTCCCAACAATTGTATTTTTTGAGTTAGGTCAGTCTTTCATTAGGCATGCGATATATAAACGAATAGATATATATAAATAACAAAAATACACAATAATATGCCTTAACTGAATAATCAGATATAAAAAACGAAGCACGCAAACTACTCCAGCCGTTTGAGATCGACATGTCAGCAGGGGGCGACAGCGAAGCCCTATGGAGTTTGCTGCACATGACCTCGACTCCCGGCTGGCCCCAGCTCGGCGATAAAGAAAACCGGCCAGTCAATTATTAACATTTAGCAATTAGGGTATCGTAAAATCATATGCAAATAATGGGGGGGGGGGGGAGGTATGTCCATCCTAGAACAGTTTAGTGCCCACCCCATGATTTGGGGAAAGCTTTTAGGGAATGTTCAAGATTGGTAACCCCGCCTGCGCGAACGGTATACGCTAGCGGAGCACCAGTGAGGGATGGTGGTGAGAATGCAAACGCAAGTCAGTTTGCACATCGTTCACCACAATGGTTTCAAGGGGGGCACGTGGAGGTCGACCTGACAGGGCATATTGCTAGCAATGAGATTGCTAGTTCGCATTGGTAACAAATCCCCTCCAGACTTTTTGTTTAGTTTAGTGGTAGCCTCGCCTGCGTTACTGGTGTACACTAGCGGGGCACCAGTGACATATAATGGGAAAAAGGGATTATGTATGGTATAGAATATGGTAGGTCACGGTGATGGCAAGAAAACGAAGACTTACAATTGGATTTTATTTTCGTTAATTACAGATAATAAATAGACGTGTGATGTCGATCGCTTCTAGGTGCAGACTGGGCGTGGCCTCCGTTGCGCCAATTATAAGTTTAAAAACGACTGCACGCAGAGACAATGACATAGACAAACTATTTTATTAATAATTGAGTTTTGAGGCACAGAACGCGTCGCTTACAGGGATTATTAGTAAAGAAGTTGATTTTCCCTATTACTATCAATACACCTTATCAGGTCGACCTTATGAGGTTTGGTATCATTTTTGATACTTTAGCCATTACGAGAATAAAAATATTTAAATTCATTTAACAATGAAACGATGCAAACCCCGGTGTCACATTTGAAACTTCAGCTATTTAAGGGTTAACATATAATCCTAGTGTTATTTGTGAAAATAAATATATTGAAATAAATTGTTTATTATTTTTATATTATGCCCCCTCTGCTTCGTCCACGTGAATAAGTACATAATGGGTTACTATGTGTTTATGTGCAATATTTTAAATAACGCGACATTGCATTGTCACAATTGTACAACGCACACACACACACACACACACACATATAAATAGAAAGAAAGAAAGAAACTTTATTCTACAGAAATATGCGATTACACCCACACAGGGGTTAAAAAAAAATAATAATTATAACAACAAAAAACGACATATAAATATATATTGTCCTTGTAAATGATTCACGACGGGTAGGTATGGAGACGCCTGCCCTCTGGTGCGGATGCCGTGTAACCACAGTGTGATTTTGACGCGGGTAAAGACACGTCTACCTTTTTTTTTAAACGTCTGGAAAATGCTTTATACAGACTCATGCACCTTGTGGGAGGTAAATGGGTACTCTGTATGAGTACTCTGAACCTAAGTGTAAATGAAGTAGGTGGTGAAAGTCAATACACCACCAAAATTCCTTTAAGTTACGATTTGCAATTGAGTGAGGATAAAAACGAATTACAATTTACCTAATTTCTTCATGCGAGGAGCCCTCATTAGTGTATTAGTGATAAGTAATTCTCTTTTAGACGACGCTTAAACATGCCTATACTTGTCGATTCCCTTATTTCGGATGCATTTTTTATGTAGGTAATACAAGTAGTATTGCGACATGGCAAGATGGAAACAAAAGAATAATGGAAAATAAGTAGAGACTATCATAGTTTTACGACTCGAGGACGGCAGCGGACATAAAAGTAGTATGAGGCAGTGGCGGAGACATAAAATGAATTCATAATTTCAACTAAATCTACAATTTGCAATATTTCATTTGGATCTTGAACCGGAAGCGCCAACTATTCTTAATCTAAGAGTTCGGTGACTCTGTAACGTTTATTTATTTTTTACCTATTGTCGTGTTACTTTTTGGCTGATGGCTTTCGCCAAAGTCACAATAAATAAAAAAAAAATCTATTGTCGGATTGATCATGTTGTCATTCATTTATGTAGACAGTAACGTCAATCACTGACATATAATGACAGATTTGACACAAAAACAAACGTCTTTCACGTGTTTTTTGTTGTCCTGGAATTAATTTTCTATTTTAATGAATAATAATATATGTATAATAAAAATAAATTAATAACTGAATTACACAATGTTGCTTACAGAAGACAAAGAGATCGATATATTTGTCGCAAGTAAAATAGGCTCTTTCAAGCGTAAGTGTAAACAAATAATTTCAGTGGAACTACAAAATTATACGTTTTAATTAGTTATTAATTAATTGTAATTTATTTTTTATAAGAAAATAAACATAAATCAATTAATGTGAAGGCATCAAAATTAATATAGGACTTGCATTACGTATAAAAATAACCCATTTATGGTTGCATGGTTGCTTATTTCTAACCTTCGTACATAATTTTGTGCGAAATGAACCTCAGGTGTGTTGACCACTGTTTATACTTGGTTTACTATTTAAATTATAGATAAGGGCGGCCGGATTTCATTTAAGTATATATAGAAGTGGGTAAAGATAGTAAAAATCCTTTATAATCTCATACCATCTTCACACAAATAAAATATGTGATAACATAAAAAAATATGGCTAATATCTGTTTGACTAATATATTATTTCTGAAAAGATCGCTCCCAGCAATAAGACCGGCTCACTGTACTCATACAACTGTATCGTTGCATTTATTAATCGTCTTGCTTGCTCCCTATATTGTATAACACAAATAAAGTACTCATAAATTCTTTCATTCATATTATTTATTTATTACATCCACTGGGTGAGCCTTACAGTCTTCCAATACGCTCACCCAGGAAAGCATGAGTACAATAACATATAAAAAGGAATGTTACACAAAAAATAACAAAAATAATATAAAAAGATTTAACTCAAACAAAAAACGTCTGAACACAAATACTCTGTGGTCACCCGATGAAACTCCAGCAAGTTGGAGGCAAATACATCCAATTGTGGATATTGGCGAAAAATATCATTGAGTAGTTTCAATGCAAGAGATAGGGGAGCTTGTTTAGCAAACTCTGTTCTTTGTAATGGAACATAGAATAACATGCTTGTACATAGTTACTGTACGCTCCTATTGATATTGATTCCAGTACAGTTTGGTTACATATTATTTTTGAAATTGAAATAATTTCAAAAATAATATGAATTTTGAAAAAATTTAGATTTATTTTTCTATAAAACTTTATTTTTTTTTTTAGATATAAAGTACCATACAGACAACACAAAGAACAGTAAAAAATGTATTGAAAACTTAGTGGATATAAAGAGCTTGCAGAAGGATGACAGTATCACGTGTATGGTGTGGGGCAACCCGGAACAAACTGAGATTATCCTGGGTAGGAAAAATCAACAGGTGTGTTTTTTATTAGCATTTATTTCACTTGTAATAAATGTAAATTTTCTTTTTTATACAACTTAGAATGGCAAACAAGCTGACGGCCCACCTGATGGAAAGTGGTAACTGTTGCCTATAGACATGAGCAGTACCATGGACATAACAGAGTATACTGTTTCGCCCATGATACCCCTCATGTGTTGCCACTCCTGAGGACTCAGGTGTTATTCCTCTGTACCCAGTAAATTCACACCATATCCCACCCTTCAAACCGAAACACAGCCATGTAAACACAACTGCTTCACGGTTGAAACACGAATGCGGCAGAGGTGGCCAAGCAAACGACTTTTGTACAGTCTCCCTCTGGTATCTATTTATATATATATATATATATATATATATATATATATATATATATATAAATGAAGCAATAAAGTATAAAATAAATTAATATATATGTATATTTTTTTAATTTTTGTTTTTAGAAACACGAATGGGACAGAGGTACCCAAGTAATTGACTTTTGTACAAAGTCTTCCTCTGGTAATAGCATCTGGTATAGAGATGGCTGGGTGGGTTGTGCACAATGTAGAAATAGGGTCGTAGTTAGACCCAAGTTTAAGGTAGTGCAAATAAAGTTTTTGGTAGGGCAGAAGCCATATTTTTAAAGAATTAGGGCCCTTCATTTTAAGGCAGAGCATAGGGCCTTTTAAGGTAGGGCATTGCTCCTCAATGCCTACCCTGAAGTAGTTGTGTTTGCATGGCTGTGTTTCGGTTTGAAAGATGGGATATGGCAGTGAATTTACAGGGTACAGAGGAAAAACACCTAAGTCAGGAATGGCATGACATGGAGGGTATGATGGGCGAAACATTATACTCTGTTAAGTCCGTGGTACTGCTCATGCCTAGGTGATGGTTACCGCTTTTACCGTTTATACACACAACAGCCCAAATGAGAGGCTAAGCGCAGAAAATAGAGTCCTATTTACATTTACAGGTGGGCCGTCAGCTTGTTAGCCATTTGAAGTTGCATGAAAAAATTATATATTATTATATAATAAATAAAGAAATAAAATAAAAATAGTCTTTATTCCTGAATTACAGATTCTTTTTTAAATTGTAAATATGTATAAATATTCTTTATTGCACTAAAACATACAGTAACAACAATAAGTTAATAACAATGTTAGCAAACGCGAACTTATCTCTAAAAGAGATCTCTTCCAGTCAACCTAACGCAGTGGCATAGGAAGTAGTGAGTGGGCAGTAGTAGTGCAAGACAGAAATTAAAATAAATATTTACATAAATAATGTAATAAATAATTAATGTTGACATCAGCAACATCTTATTTTTCAGGTTGTTCTAGAACATAGGCCTCCTCCATATTTCTCCATTGGTAACGATTCCTTGCAGCTTGTCTCCAGCCTTTGGGCAAATCATCCTCCCATCTTCTCATTGGCCTACCTCGGTTTCTTTTTCCATCACGCGGGTACCACTCAATTAAATCTTGGGTCCATTTATTTTTCGCCATTTCATATTATTTTAATACAAAATGCTATTTTCTCGAAATTAGAATAGAAAATGGCAAATGTATAATGAGACTGTCATAATTAACTGAAACTGAACTTGTAAATTTTTTAAATTATCAATAAACGATCTGTATTTCATTTTATTTCATTTCAGATAGAAGTATACAATACAGAGAAAAGTGAAGTTGTCAAAGCTTACACGGCGGATTTTTCAAGTGGTCACCTGGTCGGGCTGGGGCGATGCAAGCGGAAATACTTAGCGGCGCTGTCAGGGGGTGTCGTGAAAGTGTGGAGCAAGAAAATGGATTTCACGGTGGAGACAGGGAAGCTGGACCGGATGAGGGTCTGTGAGGATGAACCTACAATGTTTGCTACAGGTATTTAAAGTTACATACATACATACATACATATCTGTCACGCCTGTCTCCCATTAGGGTAGCGCAGAAACAATGGAACGCCAAATGCTTCGATACAAACAAACCTCTTAACCTCGACGTGCTGAAGAAGGGCCAAATTAAAAGTACCCGTAACCGGCGAGCGTGTATGAAAAGATTGATGAATGTGGAGGAAGCGAAGGAGGTTTGTTTGTATTTAAGGTTCTATTATAGATTTACCTTTGCCTATAAGTGACGGTTTTTTTATGGATTTGTTTGAATTGTTTAAGACCTAATTCTTTAAATTCTTTAGGGATTGCATTATACAGTTTCGTACACATATAATAACAATTTTTTTGATAGACTGCTGTTTTTGGAATACAATTTAAAACTAATCTGTTTGGCTGTCTCGTATTTTTTGGGTATTGTTGTACAGCAGTAGTAAATTTGCTAAAATATTTTTTAACAAATACTGCTATTTCATATATGTACATACATGGTAAGGGAAGAAGGCGAAGTTTTTTGAATAAAGGCCGAATGAATGAATGAAAATGGAATGGTAACCCCGCCCGCGCTATCGGTATACGCTGGCGAGGTACCAGGGAAACATGATAGGTGAAGATGAAGTAGATCAGCTGGCCTATAGTGACGAGTTCTACAAGAATCAACTACGACTGTTCCCAGAGGGAACCGTGTGGAAGTCGACCTGTTAGGGTATATTGCTAGCAATGAGGCTGTTAGGTCTCATTACTAACAATCCCTTTTCCTCTATATAAGCGACGGTTACTACTTCCCATCAGGCGGGCCGTTAAGGCCAAAGGGAGACTTTGTACTTTGGGTACCTCTGTCTCATTCGTATTTCAACCATGAAGCAGTTGTGTTTGCATGGTTGTATTTCGGTTTGAAGGGTGGGATATGGCGTGAATTTACACGGTACAGAGGAATAACACCTGAGTCCTCAGGCATGGCAACGCATGTGGGGTATCATGGGCGAAACAGTATACTCTGTTATGGCCATGGTACTGCTCATGTCTATAGGCGACGGTTACCACTTTCCATTAGGTGGACCGTCAGCCTGTTTGCCAAAAAAAAACCTTTTATATTTTTATACTAAGCAATTACAATTAATATTTTAAATTTTGGCCAGGTGGTGAAGAAAACGACCTAAAAATCTGGCAGATAGGTGAAGCAGCCCCCTTGTTCACCGCCAAAAACCTTCCACACGATTGGCTGCAGTTGCGCAGGCCTGTTTGGGTGTCAGACCTGACCTTCCTGCCTGGTGAGGGGGGAAGACTAGTTGCTGTCTGCTCCAGGCATGGATATGTTCGGTAAGTACCAGTTTTACCATAGGGATTTTTTTCTATTTATTTTTTATACACGCCGAAAATATAGATTTCACACTCAGATTTATTTTTTTTTAGATTTTTTTTCATACCTTGATTTTTTCCGCTAGTGTCTTATTTTCCCAAGTTCTCTCTTCATCTGACACTTTCATTCTCGCCTATTGAATGTGTGCCATTAAGTATATGTACGTTTATGTATACATTTGTTTATATATATATATATATATATATATATATATATATATATATATATATATATATAAATTCTCGTGTCACGGTGTTTGTTACCAAACTCCTCCGAAACGGCTTTACCGATTTTCATGAAATTTTGTGTGCATATTAGGTAGATCTGAGAATCGGCCAACATCTATTTTTCATACCCCTCAATGATAAGGGTGACCCACCCATAAAAATTTATTTTTATTTTTTAGACAAACTTTTCCATTTTTATTTTCCAATTTAGCATTGAAAAATACATACAACTTTAAATTTTCATCGTTTTACGATCAACCCCTGTATTTTAATCGCGATTTTTATATTACGCAATAAGTGGTAAAACAACGTTTACGGGGTCAGCCGGTGTATATATATAATAATATTTATATAACGGTGCTCCACCCACCCTTTGTCTTTTTCCCAATGTCCTCTACCCAAAGGTTGTCTGGAAGAGATTGCTCACCGATAAGACCGCCTTTTGTATCATTTCTCATTACAATTAACTGTATTTATTATTTCTATTTCTATAAATGGTACAATAAAGTGTAAAATAAATAAATAAATGGTTTAAATAAAGAAGCAAATACAGTGGTACCCCGCACTTTGGTTGTATTTTGTCAAGAGAGGTACTGGCTGAGAACCAGCGCTGTGCAGCTGTTCAGATTGCACTAGGACCACTACAGCATCAGCTGAGTCAGTTCCTTTTACCTAATATGAGACACTAAACTCTTTATTGTTGTTAAGAGAGGGACTGGCTGAGAACCAGCGCTGTGCAACTGTTCACATTGCACTGGGACCCGCACAGCATCAGCTGATCCTGTTTCTTTTGCCTAGTATGGGACACTTCTTGTATATGTATTTTCTATATTATATACTAGCGGCCCGTCCCGGCTTCGCACGGGTAGACGTTTTTACAACATTTTAAAAAGTGGCTATTGTGACATAACGATAATAGTTGGACATATAGTGTCGCGAAGTTTTTTATAGTTATTGATATTTCCTTCAATATTGTAGAACATACTTTTGTTCTATCACCAATAGTTTCCGCAGCGCACGCGACCAAAGATATTTTATAGCATTTATTTTTACACCTCGAGTTACGTTACTAAAGTTTTAGTAAGGATCCCCTAATGTTTTCTAGCAATAAATATAGCCTGTGTTACTCAGGGTGAATGTAGCTTTCTAATGGTAAGAGAACTTTTGAAATCGTCAAAGTAGTTTTTGAGTTTATTCATTACAAACCTACATACATATACAAAAATACAAATCTTTCCTCTTTATAATATTAGTGTAGATTGTGATTTACTGGCAATAAATATTTTCTCTTCTATCCAAAATTGTCTTCTCTCGAGGTTGTACGACACGCGTGCGCAGCGGCGACCCGTCTGCAACGTGGACTTCAACGCCATGGCTGCTGTGTGTATAGCGCCCAGCTTCGACCAACGGTGGGTCCAAATACCATAATATGTTACATAACATTTTTTACTGAGTATTTTTAGTTTATCTTAAGCTGCACGGTTTTTACCCTTGTAAGCTTGACGTTAATAGATCCCTCTATGGCAGCCTTTCCCAGAGTGGGCGATAACGCCTCGTTATGGGCGCTGCAGGTCTAAAGTGGGGGTGAGAGGCCCAGAAAAAAAATGGGAGCGTTGTGTAGAGGTTTGGCGGGTGATTTGTTGATCTTGAAGTAATAGTGGTTTTTAAGTAGGTGAAAAAATGAGGGCGCTAAATAATAATTTATTCTCAAAGTGGGTTACAGAATAAGTTTGGGAACCCCTGCTCTATGGGATAAGTCCGCCATTGTATATTAGATCTTTTAATGTATTCAGTATGATTTTTTGTTTTTTTGATGGATGAAAATGGTATGGTAACCCCGCCTGCGCTAACGGGATACGCTGGCGGAGCAGCAGTGAAGGGTGATAGATGAGAATGAAAACAGGCCAGTTAGCACATCATGATGAATTCATCGGGAATTAACCATGATAGGTTTCCAGGGAGAACTGCGAGAAGGTCGACCTGGTTGGGTATTTTACATAACATAACAGAGTATACTGTTTCGCCCATGATACCCCCATGTGTTGCCATTCCCGAGGACTCAGGTGTTATTTCTCTGTACCCAGTAAATTCACGCCATTCCCTGTTTTAAGAGGGACGCTGCTGCCCACCCCTCGCCCCCCTCAGTCGCCTCTTACGACAGCCACGGGAAAGGAAGCGGTGGTCCATTCTATGCCGGGACCACGTGACGCTTATTATGGTATGCAATAAATAATTTATATAAATTATTCTAGAAACGTCCTAGTTGGCTTCGGACGAGGTCAGCTCCACCAGGTGGACCTTCGGAAGAGTCGACCAGACAAAGGCTTCAAGGGTGCCGCCGGGGCCATCACAGACGTTCTAGCTGTTCCCGGGGAGCGGCTCATCTTCAGCTCCAGCCTGGACAGGCATATAAGGGCACACAAATACGACTCCAAGGAACTGCTGTACAAGGTAACTAACTGTTACTCTTCTTAACTGTAACCAAAAGTCGTTTGCTTGAGTACCTCTGTCCCATTCGTGTTTCAACCGTGAAGCAGTTGTGTTTGCATGGCTGTGTCTCGGTTTGAAGGGTGGGATATGGCAGTGAATTTACACGGTACAGAGGAATAACACCTGAGTCCTCAGGAATGGCAACGCATGGGGGGTATCATGGGCGAAACAGTATACTCTGTTATGTCCACGGTACTGCTCATGTCTATAGGCGACGGTTACCACTTTCCATCAGGTGGGCCGTCAGCTTGTTTGCCTTGTAAGTTGCATAAAAAAATTTTTACCTCCTTATAATTTTCTCTTATTTTTTGAAATGTTATACTTAATCTATGTTTTGAATCTAAATGTTGTTTTTTGTTTTTAAACCAATACATATATATATATATATATATATATATATATATATATATATATATATATATATATATATATATATATATAAAAATCCTAACTGCTTCCTGTCTGTACATGGAAGATATATGAGAAAAACTATTATAGGGGGGGCTTTACTAACGCAATAGAACCCACAAACAATGATTTTTAGATTTTTTTTCTGTTTGTCTGTACGTTTGTGCACGCTAATCTCAGAAATGGCTAAGAAATTATGAAATTGCATTCCGAACTGGGCGGTAGATTCATAAACAAAAATGAATTATTATTATTACAATCGTCATGTAGTCCCGGCATAGAGTAGGCCACCGCTTCCTTTCCCATGGGTATCGTATAAGACGACTAAGGGACGGCGAGGGACGGGCAGCGGCGTCCCTCTTATTGAGTTTAATTGTTTTGTGTCTCCAGCCTCCACAATTATTATTTTCAATAATACATACATTATAATTTAATTGCTATCTATTTGTATATAATTATTATTTTCTTTTGTTTGTTTTGTTTTTGATTTCTTTTGTTTTTGTTTTGTGCGCTACTGTGTGGGCCGCATGTTTCTTTTGATTAAATTATTTCTTTCTTTCTTTCTTTCTTTCAATAATTGCAGCATTAGGCATAGACAACGAAAGAGTAGTTACGGTAGAGTAGGCCAGAGGGCGCTGCATGATGGTCTTTGGTGTGTGTGTGTGTGTGTGAAAAATGGCTGTAGGCATGTGTCAATGTGTGAATATATGGCTGAGGGAATTGTTGTAAAATATAAAAGAAATGAAAGTATAAGCGGATTTAAATACGTGCTTTTTATTGCTTGGCGCAAGTGCTCATGTTTCGTTATATCAAATATTAATAAAAATATCAATACCTCTTAAAACATCCCTAAAAGTCGACAACCCCTTGTGGAAAGGCTCATGTCCAGCGGTGGACAGTTAACGCCTGGGATTGTATTAATAATTGTGTATGCCTTACAGCAATATCTCACCTCAAAGTTGTCCAGTCTGCTGGTACAAACCGCCACCACTACTCCGCTGAAGAACGAGCCAGAAGTAAAGGAAGAGTTGAAAGAAGAGAAGCCAGAAGATACAGAATATAAAGATGACGACATGGACGAGTTGTTTAACAGTATGGAGACAGTAGGGTGAGTTTCTAGTATTAATTGTAGGGCTGTTTTAATTGGTAATGTTTGGAATAGTAACCCCGCCTGCGCTATCGGTATACGCTGGCGAGGTACCAGGGACACATGAGTGGTGAGGCTGAAACCAGATTAGTTGGCCCATAGTGACGAATTTCACAAGAATTAATCACAATGGATTCCAGGGGAAATCGTGTGGAAGTCGACATGATAGGGTATATTGCTAGCAGTGGGATAGTTTTGGTACAAATAAATAAAAAATGTCCAATGTGCCACACATGGCAACTTGCTTACATAGAAGTCTTTATTTTTGTTTTAAAAGTTGGTAGGCACTGTATAGAAGTTGGTAGACTATTCCATAGTCGAACAGTTTGCACCGTAAACAATTTGTCGATTCTGAATGTCAAAACTTCTAAAATGTACATTTTTTTAATGGTTGATAATGGAATGGTAACCCCGCCTGCGCTATCGGTATACGCTGGCGGAGTACCAGGGACACATGATAGGTGAGGATGAAGCAGGTCAGTTAGCCCATCGTGACGAATTCAATGAGAATTGTTCACGATGGTTTCCAGGGGGAACCACGCCTAAGTCGACCTAATATATTGCTAGCAACGGGGCTGTCAAACTCCATGGTTAATAATCCTCCCCCCCCCCCAATGTCCCTGTGTTTTCAAAAGCATCATCCTGTCAGCCGTTATCAATACAATTTTGAACATAGACATATTTCTTTAGTATAAATTATTTTGCCTTTCAGTGAGAAACCGAAAAGGAAGAAACTACCCACAGAGCCGACAGAAGCAAAGAAGCACAAGTTGGACGACCCAGAGGATGCGATCAAGCAACTTCTACGAAGCACAGAGAAGCAGAAGCGAAAACGCGAGAAGCGGAAACGTGAAAAGAAGGCAAAGAGCGTGTTCCATAATGCTTAATAATAAAACCATAAATAAGAAAGCAGTGTTTCATTTAATATTGTAATTTTCTCTCAACATCTTCATCAATAATCACTACATATAGTAGTATAAAACAAAGTCGCTGTCGCTGTCTGTCCGTCCCTATGTATGCTTAAATCTTTAAAACTACGCAACAGATTTTAAAGCGGGTTTTTTTATAGATAGAGTGATTCAAGAGGAAGGTTTATATGTATAATACATGCATAATATTGTAGAGGTACACTGGTAAATTTAGAGGTTTCTAATGTGGTGTGGTAAATAAACACATTTTTTTGCGCTTACATTGCAAACGCTGCCTGAACCCCACGTGATAAATCAAAATAATGTACTACGGTATTATATACCTTTAGGTCTACAAAAAAGTCCGCGATGCTATTTTTTTTATGCAACTTAGAATGGCAAACAAGCTGACGGCCCACCTGGTGGAAAGTGGTAACCGTCGCCTATAGACATGAGCAGTACCGTGGACATAACAGAGTATACTGTTTCGCCCATGATACCCCCCACGCGTTGCCATTCCTGAAGACTCGGGTGTTATTCCTCTGTACCCTGTAAATTCACTGCCCCATCTCATATCGCACCCTTCAAACCGAAACACAGCCATGCAAACACAACTGTTTCACGGTTGAAACACGAACGGGACAGAGGTGGCCAAGCAAACGACTTGTACAACGTCTCCCTCTGGTAAACCCTTGTTTTTACTAAACCCACTTTAGGAATCGCTGCTATAAGGGTAGAACTATAATAAAACTAATAGTCTTTTGGAATTAGGGAGCTTTAACCCTTAAAAGCCTGATTTTTTTAAATCAAATTAAAAAATATACAAGTGTACCCTTCACTGTTTTTACTAATGGGGGAAAATAGTAAAAAAAAAAACGATATTTTTATATATTTATTTTGAAAAAAAAAAAAAAAAAAACATTTGGTAACATGTAAACAGCCAAATATTAAAATAAAATCGATTGTAGGCGCCCAATGCGATTTATAACCCCGGCATCAAGTTTGAAACTTCAGGTGTTTAAGGGTTAAAAACGGTTGAAAGGGTAAATAAATGAAAATACTTTTTTTTTTTTTAATCAAACACGTGTATTTCTCAATTAATCTTGAGCCTGTCGACGTGGTGCGCGTCCGGCGGCAGGCCGTGCACCCGCTGCAAATGTCGCGCGACGTTCCTCCGCCGCGCGAAGCTGTTGTCGCACACGCGGCAACGGAACGTGTACTGGGGCGCGCGGTGGCGGTTTTTGTGTATCCGCATCAGGGTGACCGATTTGAACCGGGCCGGGCACTGGTCGCACTGGGGGAGTGTCAAAACTCTTCAAGCTGGATTTTTTTTTTGATAGGTGAAAATGGCAACCCCGCCTGCGCTAACGGGATACGCTGGAGGAGCACCAGTGAAGGGTGATAGATGAGAATGAAAACAGGCCAGTTAGCGCATCATGATGAATTCATCGGGAATTAACCATGATAGTTTCCAGGGGGAACCGCGAGGAGGTCGACCTGGTTGGGTATATTGCTAGCAATGGGATTCTCAGTCTCCATTACTAACAATCCTTTTCCCCCCACACGAGTGTACGAGAACTACCTGCGAAGAAGCGCCACTGACCGCGCGCTGTAGGTATCACGCGTCGTGTGGGTCGTAACATTTCAAATACATTGCGCGGCGTCGACACTAAGAATTGTTAATAAAAACGAAGTAACGTGCAATAAAATTCCCTCTTGCGCCACCTGCCCACTTCTATCTGTTCTCCTTTAACCAAACGTTGTCTGTAAGAGATCGCCCTAGCGATAACACCGCCTTTTGTACCTTTATGTGTATATTTCAATCTGTATTTATGTTACTGTATTTCACCTGAATTATTCACTTGTCATTGTATATTTTTATTTATGGTGCAATAAAGAGTTAAATAAATAAATAAAAATAAATAAAATACTAGGCCAATTAACCTGTACATTCTTGTCTGGCAAGTGTATGGCAATGTGCTGGAGGTAGCTGCTCTTCCGGTGGAAGCCAGCACTGCACTCCTTGCATACGTACGGCTTCTCGCCAGTGTGCAGGCGCTCGTGGATCTGGTTGGAGACGAGAAGAAAAAATCAACTTTTGTTGAACAAAGCGTCAGTTGGAGTATCTTGGCACGCTTGGCAGGCGGTTTTTTTTTATTGGATGAAAATGGTATGGTAACCCCGCCTGCGATAACGGGATACGCTGGCGGAGCACCAGTGAAGGGTGATAGGTGAGAATGAAAACAGGCCAGTTAGCACATCATGATGAATTCATCAGGAATTAACCATGATAGTTTCCAGGGAGAACCGCGAGGAGTTCGACCTGGTTGGGTATATTGCTAGCAATGGGATTCTCAGTCTCCATTACTAACAATCCCCTTTCCCCCCTGGCAGGCGGATTGGCAACCGCAGTTAGGCTTTGGAGATGTTTTAAGAGGGACGCTGCTGCCCGTCCCTCGCTCACCCTTAGTCGCCTCTTACGACACCCACGGGAAAGGAAGCGGTGGCCTGTTCTATGCCGGGACCGTACGGCCAAGTACTTTACATTTCCTCTATTCAATAATGCACCGCCTACTTATTTCTCTGTTCGTCCAATGGTTGACTGGTAGAGAACACCGTCCGGTGTTAAGTCCGCCATATGTACAAAGAATTACACTGTGCAAGTTTAAATAAATAAATTTACCAGAGGGAGACTTTGTACAAAACTCGTTTGCTTGGCCACCTCTGTCCCATTCGTGTTTCAACCGTGAAGCAGTTGTGTTTGCACGGCTGTTTCGGTTTGAAGGGTGGGATATGGCGTGAATTTACACGGTACAGGGGAATAACACCTGAGTCCTCAGGAATGGCAACGCATGGGGGGTATCATGGGCGAAACAGTATACTCTGTTACGTCCACGGTACTGCTCATGTCTATATGCGACGGTTACCACTTTCCATCAGGTGGACCGTCAGCTTGTTTGGCATTCTAAGTTGTATAAATAAATTTATCAACTTACCTTTACTTGTTCCGCGTTGGACGCCCTGTAGTCGCAGTAGGAACACTTGTCGGTCTTCTCGTAGCCATGTTTGGCGCGACAGTGCATCAGCAGGAGCCGCCTCGTTATGAATCTCTTACCGCAGTGCTGCCAGAAACAGCCAGTTCAGTCACGCTCATCTGCATCACCTATTGCAATGTACCGGGGACGGGGGGGAAAGGATTGTTAACAATGGGAGTCTAAAAGCGCCCATTGCTAGCAATATACCCGATCAAGTCCACTCAAACTCGACTCCCCCTGGAAACCATCGTGGTTAGTTCTTGGTGAACTCGCCAGGACGCGCTAACTGACCTGGTTTCGTCTTCACCTATCATGGTTAATTCCTGATGAATTCATCATGATGGGCTAACTGGCCTGTTTTCATTCTCATCTATCACCCTTCACTGGTGCTCCACTGGCGTATCCCGTTAGCGCAGGGGGGGTTACCATACCATTTTCATCCACCAAAAAAAAAATCGTCTACTGGGGGGAGTGGGGAAGGGATTGTTAGTAATGCAGACTACCAGTTCCATTGCTAGCAATATACCCTGTCAGGTCGACCTATATATGGTGCCCCCTGGAAACCATCGTGCTGAATTCCAGGTGTATTCATCAGAATGTGCTAACTGAGCTACCTTTTCATTCTCACCGATCATATCTCACTGGTGCCCTGCCAGTGTATGCCGTTAGTGAAGAAGGGTTACCATTTCATTATCAGCCATTAAAAAAAAATGCCCAAAACACCGAGACACGAGTCAATTCAGAAAAGTATGTTTCTCATGTTGGTCACGTCGAGATTCGAACTCGTGAAGGGTACAGAACTGGGCAGTGGATTTTTAAAAAAATAACCATACAAAAATGCAAAATTGATTCACACATGCAAAGCAAAATATTGTAGTTTGTAAAAAAAAAAAATATAATCCTCACCTCGCAAACAACATCAAAACCTGTATGTATTTTATAATGATTTCTTAGCGACAATCTGGACGTTAATATTTTATGACAATATTCGCATTCAATCTCCTCTTTGACCCTCTCTATCTTTTTCGTTTTGATTTTGTTACTGTCCTTTTTTCTTTCCCCTTCCGTTTTCTCTATAGTTTTTTTTCTCTTCGTCGTCGACCTCTTTGCAGTTTTGTCCTTTGCACAATTTTGTCTCAATCTGTATTCTCTATCTACAGGTTCATCTGTGCTACGAACTTCCGTCTCGTACTTTAATTGTGTTGACACATCGTTACCTTTATCGTTACAGTATTGGAATGTATCTAACGTCAAATTGTCATCGTGATCTTTAAAATCATTGTCCACTTCATTTGATATGTCAATAAACAACTCCGTTACATTAGTATCGTTCTCCGTTTTACAAATATACGGACTCTCAACTTTAATATCGTAGAGTCTATTGTTTTTTAATCTGTCCACTAGAGTCCTCTGTGCTTCTTCAGCCTTTTTACGTATTTTGATGGATTCATTGATGAAATTTATACATGTTGAACACATTTCTTGTGGTAATTTATCATCGATTTGGACCTGAAATAGGAGAAGTAATAAAATTATGCACATAACTCTCAGATTGTAAATACTACAAGTCTCTTGCAGAACTTAATGATAAAGACACCAAGTTTTATTGAAATCATCAGAAAAATATATTAAAAATGTAAATTAGTGACAAATCATAACATTCAATACTTTAGTTTTTTTTTTTTTTTATTTATACTAAATTCAAATTTAAATCATCTCTATTCAAATACACTTGTTTACAAGCACTTTTAAATCATAATTTTTTTAATATACTGCAGGTTTCGGAAGGTTGTTATCTGTTGTGAACAGCCCGCGAGAAACTCAACAGTTACTCTTTTAAATCTCTGTTGACATTATGTGTGTTTATTTAAATGTACTATGTCTAATATTACACGGTCGTTACAAACCCGCGCATGATCTACTAACACCATGCACACTTGTCATTCAAGTAATCATTTAGTGGCTTTGTTCAATAAGTGTTTTTTAATAACAATTTTAAACTTGTTAAAAGGCAGATCCAAAATACCCTTCCATATCTTAATATAACATTTAATGCCCATTCCCTTAAAAGACCTATTTAACTTTTTCTAAACAATATTTTGGAACGGCAAGTTTGTATTTGTATCTAGTGTTAACATTATTCGGATCGCTGTTTTTATGAAACAGTTGAAGATTTCTATATATATATATATATAAAATGTTTGCATATATATCATTGTGAATGGATGACAATGGAACGATTACCCTGCCTGTGCTATTGGTATACATTGGCAGGGCACCAGTGAGTGGAGGATGAAAAGGCTGGTCAGTTAGCCCATTGTAACAAATTCAATGATAAATTAGTCATGATGGTTTCCAGGGGGCACCCACATGGAGGTTGACTTGGTAGGGTATATTGATAGCCATGGGGACCAACCTCCCCATTACTAACAATCCCTTCCCCCCTATGTTATTGTGAAGCTATGGTGAGAAAATATTTGCTTCCTTAAATTTCTCTCTTACAACTACTATTAAACACAGTCCAACTGATATATGGTTGGGGGGGAAAGTTTTTTCATATGACCAAGCTAAAAAATAGCCTATGCACTTCTCAATACTAAATTTTAAATGAGTAGGTAGCAAATTTAATAAGAATTACTCGAGTCGTTAACATTACAAGAGGTAATGTGAGAATCGTCGATTAAGTTTTAGTTAAAATTTGTTTACACACAAATGATAAATAGAAACGGTATATACCTTAATTCCGGTAGCTATAAAAATAGTATTTGAATACTTTTCACTGTGTTCGGGAAGCAGAAATATAGGATTTAAAGTTTGTAAACTGAGACATATTCTACAGCAATTCCACGAATACATGGCGGCAAGTTGTTTATTATATTATATTATATTAGCATAAAAATTGTTTTTATTAGTTTACTTAAACTTTTTAATTTGTATTTATTATCAGTCTAAGAGTAGCAATTTACTGCGAAATGTAATTAACAAAAATATCTGGTAATACAGCCAAAACTGACGAAAACAAACAAAAAAAAAATAACAATTTCCACAGAGTCCACAAATGCGCAAAAAAAGCAGAACACCAAAGATCCAAAACACGCACGAATCGTAAAAAATTATAATATATTTTTGTAGAAAACCACAGAACAGATTTGTCTTTCTTCATTTAAATATTTATTAGTGGGCATTTTTAAAGCACTAATGTAAGTTTTTTATTAAGCCCATATTTGTGGTAAAACAATCTTTATATTTTATATAACCACGTCCTTAATGTTAAGAGAAATATTTCGTCTTATTTGTCTTACATAAAAGTAATAAATACTAACAGACATATATGTCTGTGGGTTTTCTGCAAAACTACTTCATTGTTATACGTCCGTAAATAATAATGATTATCTACGGAGTCAGAAATAATTCAACTTAATTTGTGCTGTGTCTGTGACATGGCTAAAAAAAGGAACATAACAGTTTCTAATATATTCTGTATAAATGCTGTATGCTGTTATGTTTGTCTTTCTGATTCAGTAAATACGTTTTATTTGTTTACTTAAATTTATTTTTTATATTAGCTGATGTATTTCGCTTCAATTGAAATTAAATAAATAGAAGAATACGGTGTAATTATATTTCGTTAATATGGAGTGGAAATGCTGCAGGACATGTTTAAGTTCACAATCACTGAATCCCATATTTCAAATATCTAATAGTTGCGCAAAATATACAAATGCGTTGTTTTTGGTCACAGGTTTAAAGGTAAATACTTAAAATAATAAAAAGAATATTTTTAATCTACTACATTCAATTTTCGAATATTTTTTTTCTATATAATCGTAATATGTATTTTGTTCTAAGAAATACCGGCAAAAAATTAACAAAATTTGCATGGATAGAACCAATATGTCGTACAAACTTGAACAGCACTATGTATATCGCAGAATACACTGATACTTCTCATGTGTTATCATTCATGTATATTATATTTTTGTATCTATATATTTGCTGTTCTGTCTTCTCATATATTTTTTTAATTGTTAATACATTGAATTCCAAATATAAATCTTTTCAATTGGAATGTGTATGACAAGGCTGTCTGGTGGATAGACTCACAGTCAAATATTTCATGTTTTTTTTTATACCACTAAGGTAACAAACAAGCATACAGCCCACCTGATGATAAGTGGTTACCTTAGCCTATGAACACCTGTAATACCAGAGGTATTACACATGGGTCGTTGTCCCTATAGAAACCTCTTTACCCCCCTTTTGAAGAACTCCATGCTGTAGTCTCTTGGGAAAACTCCGGCAGGGAGCTCATGTATGCCACAAATCTTTGGTATAAGGCAGTTTTACAAACAATGTGACCCATACAGCTCCATACAATAATATAAGCAATTTGATACTTAAAAATTATATGTTTTTCTTGAAAAAAATTGCCTTTTTAATGATTTTATTTAATCCTATATGTATATATCTACACTGCCATGGACAGTTTTATTTCCACCCCCCACTAGATGGAGTGACAATCTCAAAACACATTGCAGAGAGTCTGTCAACGCAGGTGGCTCAGGACCCTTCTTTATAGCAGTCTATGGGGGAGTCCTATGTCCAGCAGTGGGCAGATAATGGACGAGATTTTTTTTCTACCACTGAGGTGGCAAACAAGCATACGGCCCACCTGATGGTAAGCGGTTACCGTAGCCTATGAACACTTGCAATACCAGAGGTATTACACGCGCATCATTGTCCCTGAAGAAACCCCTTCACCCCCCTTTTGAAGAACCCCATGCTGTAGTCACTTAGGAAAACCTCGGCAAGGAGCTCATTCCACAACCTGAGTGTTCAGTTCAGTGTTATCACACTTGACAGGCAGGTTGGTAACAGCAGTCAGTCTTTTAGAAATGTTTTGAGAGGGACGCTGCTGCCCATCCCTTGACTATTAAGTTCTCTTAAATGCCTCTAATTACACCCACAGGAAAAGAAGGGCTGGCCCATTCTATTATTATATTGTAATTGAAGAATATGTATTTGTAAATTAAATTTATTATATTAATTATATTATGATATTTATACGCATATAATCTGTAGTCAATGTTGTGTACGCCTGCTACAGGTATTCATACCAGCGTGCTACACAAAAGATGTTATTTAATTTATGTATAACATGTATAAATAAATATAAATATATACGGACAAATCACACAGATTGAGCTAGCCCCAAAGTGAGTTCGAGACTTGTGTTATGGGATACTAACTCAACGGTACTATATTTATAATAGATACATATATAGATAAACATCCAAGACCCAGGCCAATCAGGAAAAGATCGTTTTCCATCATGACCTGGCCGGGGATCGAACCCGGGGTCTCCACGTCGCAGGCAGGCGTGTTGACCGCTGCGCCACGGAGGACGACTATTATATTTATATTTATATTTACCTAATTCGAAATAAATAAATAAATAAATAAATACAATTATTAATCAATTCCTACTTTTTTTTAGATCGAAATCAATGATAGACTGCCCCAACAGTTGTGCAGCAAATGTGTCGACTTCATAAACCAATATTTGGACTTCAGGGACATGTCGCGACGTGTACATAAAACTCTAATTGGCAAGTTGAACGCTGTACACGATAAAAATACCAGTTTGGACATTGACAATGATAAATTAATCAACATCACAAATGTTAAAGTCGAGATGTGTGACGAATCCGGTTCCAATGATGCTCCAGATACGGATAGAGCGAGTTGTGATGAAAAAGTTGATAGTGTTAAAATGAAAGATTCCTTCAAATACGAGACGACAGTCGAAGAATTGTTGAAGGAGAAAAAGGAGATCGTTTTTAAGAATGTATATTTTAAAAAGAGAATAACTGGCGGTAAGATTAAAGTGGAACATAGCATGGCATTAGAGGAGATAGCCAGAATAGACGAGAAGAAGTTTGAGAAGAAAAAAGAAGACAGCGGTCCAGTGGAATGTAAATATTGTCACAAACTGTTTCAGAGTAAAGTAAAAATGTACAACCATTATAAAACTCATAATGGACTCAAGTTTGTATGCGAGGTAAGTTAAATTAATCAATCAATACATATATATATATATATATATATATATATATATATATATATAAAATCGTAACTGCTCGCTGTCTGTACATGGAAGATATATAAGAAAAACTATTATAGGAGGGCTTTACGAACGCAATAGAACCCAGAAACAATGACTTTTAGATTTTTTGTCTATTTTTCTGTAGGTTTGTGCACGCCAATCTCAGAAACGGTTTAACCGATTTAAATACAGTTTTCACTAACGCGTCGCGGTTTGCCCCACTTAACATTTAGTGTTTGTTTTATTTCAATCGGTTCATAAATAAAAATGTTATATCAATGTAAAGAGTCACATATGAAATGCTATAAAATAACCGATCAGTTGAATTGGCTGACACTTTACGAAGGTATTAGGTACGTAATTATCATTTAAGTATATAATACAATATAAGGCCGGATTCATGAAGGGGTCCAATGGGAACTTTAGATTTTTTGAATTTTGAATGGGATATTTTTAACTTTTTTTTTTATTTATGCAACTTAGAATGGCAAACAAGCTGACGGTTCACCTGATGGAAAGTGGTAACCGTCGCCTATAGACATGAGCAGTACCGTGGACATAACAGAGTATACTGTTTCGCCCATGATATCCCCTATGCATTTCCATTCCTGAGGACTCGGGTGTTATTCCTCTGTACCGTGTAAATTCACTGTCATATCCCACCCTTCAAACCGAAACACAGCCATGCGAACACAACTGCTTCACGGTAGCAACACGAATGGAACAGAGGTGGCCAAGCAAACGACTTTTGTACAAAGTCTCCCTCTGGTAAATTTCTCTCGATCATTAAGTCCCTTACGACATCCACGAGGAAGGGGCCCACATTATGCCTACCTAGAATAAAAATTTTCCTCCAGCACTGCGGCAGGAAGTTCATGAACAGACGGCGCCTGGTGATGCACTGCAAAGCGAAGCATGGCTACGAGAAGACTGACAAATGCTCGTATTGCGATTACCGAGGGTCCAACCCGGAGCTGGTCAAGGTGAGGGAGCATTTAATACTGGTATTGATTATAGAAACTGGCTACCACGATATTATACCTATATTATACCTACTCTCCCCCCCCCCCCCATTATGGCGAGTCCCTTGAATGGATTTGGCCACAACAGAATATCAGTGTTTTGCTCTTTAAGGGCAAAGCTGAGTTGTGACCATTTTGTGTTTTTTTTTTTGATGGGTGAAAATGGTATGGTAACTGTAACGCCTGCGCTAACGGGATACGCTGGCGGAGCACCAGTGAAGGGTGATAGATGAGAATGAAAACAGGCCAGTTAGCACATCATGATGAATTCACCGGGAATTAACCATGATAGTTGCCAGGGGAAACCGCGAGGAGTTCGACCTGGTTGGGTATATTGCTAGCAATGGGATTCTCAGTCTCCATTGTATAAAAAAAATCTATTGTAGATCCACGAGCGAACGCACACGGGTGAGAAGCCGTTCGTGTGTCCAACATGCGGCAGCGGTTTCCACCGGCGGAGTACGTACTTGCAGCACGTGGCCATACACCTGCCTCACAAGACTGTGCCGGTTAGTATGCGCGCATTATCCTTTTTATGGATGATAAATTACGCCTTGTGGTCCCGGCGTAGAATGGACCACTGAAGGGGTGGTCTGGTTGACTAATATCATTATAGAAGTATTATATATATAGTAGTATAAAATGCACCGTGGTCCCGGCATAGAATGGGCCACTGTAAGGGCCTGGCTGACTAATATCATTATAGAAGTACAATACATATTGTAGTATTATATAATGTGCGCTGTGGTCCTGGCATAGAATGGGCCACCGAAGGGGCCTGGCTGACTAATATCATTATAGACGTACAATACATATAGTAGTATAATGTGCGCTGTGGTCCCGGCATAGAATGGGCCACCTCTTCCTTCTCCGTGGGTGTCGTAAGAGGCGACTATGGGACGGCGAGGGATGAGCAGCAGCGTCTCTCTTAAAACAACACCAGATGGAGACTTTGTACAAAAGTCGTTTGCTTGGCCACCTCTGTCACATTCGTGTTTCTACCGTGAAGCAGTTGTGTTTGCATGGCTGTGTTTCGGTTTGAACGGTGGGATATGGCAGTGAATTTACATGGTACAGAGTCAAAACACCTGTGTCCTCAGGAATGTCAACGCATGGAGGTGTCATGGGCGAAACAGTATACTCTGTTATGTCCACGGTACTGCTCATGTCTATAGGCGACGGTTACCACTTTCCCTCAGTTGGGCCGTCAGCTTATTTGCCATTCTAAGTTGTATAAAAAAAAAAGGTACCAGGGACACATGATAGGTGAGGATGAAAAGGTAGGTCAGTTAGTCGTGGTTGAATACACCTGGAATTCAACACGATGGTTTCCTAGGGGGACCGCGGGGAGGTCGACCTGATAGGGTATATTGCTAGCAATGGGATCTTCCCTTCCCGATTATATTAAGACTATTTCGTTCACAGTGCGACGAGTGTCCGGCCCTGTTCAAATCGGTGACACTTATGCGAATACATAAGAATCGGCATAAAGTGCGCCGCAGGAAACGCGAGATGAGGGACAAGATGGCGTCCGCGCGTCAAACATGAGGAATTGTTCGGATCGATACCCGCTGCTGATTTTCACCACCGTACAACCCGCCATAAACTAAAATCTCAACCCAACCATCTGGACGAGCGGCGGTCCTCCACCGTGCGTTTTTCAAGGCACTTTCTTCCACGCACAACCACTCTTTGGAATCAACTTCCAGCAGCGGTATTTCCGAACCGATACGACAACATAACCTTCAAGAAAAGAGTATATTCCTTTTTAAAAGGCCGGCAGCACACCTGCAATGCCGTTGGTGTTGCGGGTGATCATGGGCGGCGGTAGTCACTCACCGTCAGGAGAGCCGCATGCTCGTTTGCCCCTTGCGTTGTAAAAAGAAAAGAAAAAAACAGTCGAAATGAAGCCGCGAACGACAATTCCCATAATAAAACATAATTGCAACCTCTTTATTTCCTATAACAACAAATAATGCACGAATAGTTTGTGAAAGATTGTAAAGAAATAGTATTACGTAGAACGGTTGCTTACTGATCGCTGAATAGGTTTCAAATAGGCTTTGGTAAATGGATACTGATCCAGTATCTATATATTGGTTTCCTCTGTTGATATTGACACTGATGGCGGGAAAAAGGTCATCAGCCATTTCGATATCGCCCGTATCGGTCGGATATCTATTTTCGAATATGTTAAAAGTCTGTTATATAATATTATTTTTTGGATAACAGACGTTTAATATATACGTTATTATACCAGTATATATTTATTGTAACTAAAATATATAGATACTGCTATACATCACGCTCACCTATTTCCAGCGATGAGGTAGCAACACGTAATATTATGTCTGTGATTCTAACCATAGGAATAGTACATTCACTTCCCTGCTCATTATATGATCATTCCTTATACATTCAAGTCTTTTATTTAATAAAAAAATCCTTTTTCTTCCTTCATCCGTTTGATCCCTGTTAGCTCATTCTGACCCTTTGATGTATAATTCCTTAGTTTCCTTTATTTCTTGTAATAACATTAAACTATTAATTATCATTAATATCAAAATGTACCGTTTCTTTTCAATATTCTAGCTGATTTTCTGTTTGTTACTGGCATAATGGGCAACACTAATCGTTTGCCAAAATAAAAAAAAAAAAAAATTACACTTCAAAAGTAAGTATTTTATTTTGTTCATATTCCCGCCAAATCGGTTTCGGGCAATCAAGTTCGGGCGAGCAAAGTCGTAGGCAAAGGTAAGTGTTGATCAAAATTGGAAGATTCATAGATTTATTGACTTTGTACAAAACTCGTTTGCTTGGCCACCTCTGTCCCATTCGTGTTTCTACCGTGAAGCAGTTGTGTTCGCATGGCTGTGTTTCGGTTTGAAGGATGGGATATGGCGTGAATTTACAGGGTACAGAGGAATAACACCTGAGTCCTCAGGAATGGCAACGCATGGGGGGTATCATGGGCGAAACAGTATACTCTGCTGTGTCCATGGTGCTGCTCATGTCTATAGGCGACGGTTACCACTTTCCATCAGGTGGGCCGTCAGCTTGTTTTATAAAAAAAAATTAGATTATTTAGAAGTAAAAAAACCAAGTAAAGTAAATTTTTTTTTAATACATTTTGTACAATAAAGATTTATAATGTAATTCAAAATTACAACATAATTACATTTCATTAAAAAAAAATCTATTTATACTTAAAAAAATCATTATCCATCTTATAATTTAAAACACAATTGGTCGTTTAATTAAAATTATTTTGTTTAATTTCCCTACCATTATTGTCTGACTGCCAACACAAATTCCCACTGCCATTTCGTCCACGCACGTTTTCTTTGCTAATATGGAAGGTTGTGGCACTTCTGGCAGTAACAGTGGTGGTCATTCTTCGAATGTTGGCAGTCGCACGCATACTAATGGTGGCGGAATTAAACGAGATAATTCTAAACAAATAACCAGTGGTATGGACATCACCAAGACAACATGTAGTTTAGTAAAATATTAATATAGTACATTTAAATATACATTTTTTATTATTAAAATAATAGGTACACGAATAATACTGTAATTTAAATCAGTGTTTGTTACCAAACTCCTCCGAAACGGGATTATCGATTTTCATGAAATTTTGTGCGCATATCGGGTAGGTCTGAGAATCGGCCAACATCTATTTTTCATACCCCTCAATGATAAGGGTGACCCACCACGCCTAAATATTTTTTTTTTATTTTTATTTTATTATAATTTAGCATTGAAAAATACATACAACTTTATATTTTCATCGTTTTACGATCAACCCCTGTATTTTAATCGCGATTTTTATATTACGCAATAAGTGGTAAAACAACGTTTACGGGGTCAGCTAGTATATATATATATATATGTATATATATATATATATATATATATATATATATATATATGTATGTATATATATATATATATATATATATGTCTCGTTGTGATCATCCCGGGAGCACTCGCTGACTGTAATCAGTAACGAATCGAAACCTCCAGTCGATCGGTCGATGATCGATTCGTACTACTATCGGTTTAGTAAAGTACCAATTGTGGCCATCCATCCTAGTTCCTGTCGCAGTTTTAATACTGGCTGTTGACACTGAGGTTTTTTAGAACAATGTATTATTTTTAAGTTGGTTCTTTGTCAGATTTTTATAAGACATGTCTCGTATTTCTTTCACTAAACTTTTCATTTTATATCTCGAATACTGTAAAGTTTTATTACTGTATCCTGCTATTTACAACAGTTCCCACTAGCGCTACCATTTCTTAACCCTTCTTTGCATAACGGTGGAAATTTCCATCATAACATTGAACGCCCAAAAATTATACAAAAGACCAAGTTCACTTTAAGTTGATCGTGTATGAATACCTTTTTAATGTCCATTGCAGAGAAAAAAAACATAGCTGTCAAATTTATTTCTTTAACCATTTTTCCTTTAATTTTGAACATGAATTATATCGCCTTGATTTATTTCACCAATAAAAAAAAATCATGCAAAGAAGGGTTGATTGCTTAAGCAATCACTTAGGCTTCATTGTATTATATACTTAAATGATAATTACGCACCTAATACCTTCGTAAAGTTCCAGCCAATTCAACTGATCGGTTATTTTATAGCACTTCATATGTGACTCTTTACATTGATATAACATTTTTATTTACGAACCGATTGTAATAAAACAAACACTAAATGTTAAGTGGGGCAAACCGCGACGCGTTAGTGAAAACTGTATTTAAATCGGTTAAACCGTTTCTGAGATTAGCGCGCACAAACGTAAAGACTAACAGACAAAATTCTAAAAATCATTGTTTCTGGGTTCTATTGCGTTCGTAAAGCCCTCCTATAATAGTTTTTCTTATATATCTTCCATGTACAGACAGCGAGCAGTTACGATTTTATATATATATATATATATATATATGTATTAAAAATTACAATAATTTTTAAATGCTATATAATTTACAATAATTTAAACATATTTACATAAAAACATTTTTTTTTCCATTTAATAGTTCCCACTTGTCGGTGCAACTAATTCATGCATCTTCCCCCAGCCAGCTCTATCCCAGGCCATATCCTTGACCTCCCTATACGACATGACACCTAGTGTTTCTATTATCTGTGCCATGTAGTTATTCCTCGGTCTTCCTCTTTCTCTTTTGCCTTCTGTTATAATATTAAAAATCGGAATCCATTTACAAACGATCAAACCCGTGATGGTAATCCTCCCCCATAAGGGGGGAGGCTTTGTTCAGCTGTGAACGGTTTTTTTAATGGGTGATAATGGAATGGTAACCCCGCCCGCGCTATCGGTATACACCGGCGGGGCACCAGTGAAGGATGATAAATGAGGATGAAAGCAGGTCAGCCGGTACCCCATCGTGACGAATTCCATTAGAATTCACCACGACGGTTTCCAGGGGGAACCGCGTGGACCGACCTGACAGGGTATATTGCTAGTAATCGGTGAGTTTTTTTGATGGGTGAAAATGGTATGGTAGCCCCGCCTGCGCTAACGGTATAGGCTGGCGGAGCACCAGTGAAGGGTGATAGATGAGAATGAAAACAGGCCAGTTAGCACATCATGATGAACTCATCTGGATTTAACCATAATAGTTTCCAGGGAAAACCGCGAGGAGGTCGACCTGGTTGGGTATGTTGCTAGCAATGGGATTCTGTCTCCATTACTAACAATCCCTTTCCCCCCAGTAATAGGTCAGTTAGACCCCATTACCAACAATCCCTTTCCGCCCAGTTAAGTACTAATATGACTTCTTCCATGGTTTCTTGTCTGAGATCTACAGCTGTACGCGTGCGATGGGTCCCTGCTGGTCGTCAGGCAGCCCGTGTACCCGGCGCGTGTGGGCGCGTACCTTGTTCGGCTTCTCGAAGCGGTGGTCGCACACGGGGCACAGGTAGCCGTACCGCCTGCCAGTATGCGCGTTGTGCTTGTGAATTTGAAGGAACTTCCGGGACTTCAACCTCTTCGGGCACAAGTCACACTGGCCGCGAAATCGAAAAAAAAAATTAGCTCTAAAGTATGTATATATATATTATGTTTTCTCAAACATGCTTGGAAATGTGAGCATTATTTTGACAATCTTCTTCGAGATAAATCAAAATTGCTGTACTGGCCAGATACATGCGGGCAGCGGCCGGCAAAAGTTGGATGAAAATCCATGATAAATTACTATGTAAACTTTACTTCGAAACATGGCTACCAAGGAGGTAACTAATAAAAGGTTTTATTTAAATTTCGAACTGGCTTGCAAATAGAAAGCTGTTTATTGAAAAAAAAAAGGAACATTAAAAAGTAAAATTGTGTTTTTGATTTCCGCGCATTGTTTGAAAAAAGTACTATACAAGCCTTGGCCACAACTAGGCATTGATGGACTCACGTATGTGTGCCTCGGCTACGCCTTGGCCCACATTTGCATGTTCGTTCATCAATGCCTCAGTTGCTGGCCGCTGCAGTAATGTACTATAGATAGATAGATAGATAGATAATTTATTTGCATTACTTACAGCACACAAATTATAACATATACATAAAAAGCGAGATAAGAGTAATGATTAAAAACAAAATACATAAAGCCAAGTACAATTTTTCTGCTTCACGGTAGAAACACGAATGGGACAGAGGTGGCCAAGCAAATGACTTTTGTACAAAGCCTCCCTCAGGATTCACTACTATTTACATGTTTCGATCGCAGCGCGCCTCATCGAGGTTACTGATGACCCAAGAGCTGGTAGCTACTTTGCCCAAAAGATAAGTTTGGCAATCCAAAGAGGTAATGCTGCCAGTATCTTGGGTACGCTGCCTCGGTGTGGTGCGTTGGGAGATTACTTTTAATTGTTATTAGTATTTAAGGAATTTTGTAAAAAAAATAAAAAAAAATATGTTGAATCTAAATCTAGTCTGTATATATGTCTGGTATAGTCTGCCATCTTAATTTATATAACATTTTTTTTTATATATATTTTTTTTATTTCATATTTTTTAATAACATTTTGAATTTTAATGACTTATTTAACATTTATTCTTTTTAAGTTTTAATATTTACACGCCTAATTATGGCGAAATATGTGAACTTTTACTTATTGTTAACATATATACACTTACCATGTTTCTTGTAAATAAATAAATAAACAAACTATGGTGTTATTCCTCTATACCCTTTAAATTCACTGCCATATCCTACCCTTCAAACCGAAATACAGCCATGCGAGCGCAGCTGCGTTACGGTAGAAACACGAGTGGTACTTGTCGTTGGTAAAAGACGTTGTTGTTACCTGGAAGTTCTTGTCGGGCAGGTGTATGGCGATGTGCTGCACCAGGTTGGAGCGGCGGTGGAAGGTGGCGCCGCAGTGGTCGCACACGTACGGCCGCTCGCCCGTGTGCCGCCGCTCGTGGATCTGTTCACATCATGGATATAGACATATTTAAAAAAAAATATCGTTTTTAATTCTTTATTTATAATTATTGACCGCGTCATACACACACGGACACAACACACACGTGCACACATACACGCTCACACACACACGTACAAACACGCACGCACGCCCGCACACACACATACTCACATGCACACATACTCACATGCACACGCACACACGTACACACACGCACGCACGCGCGCACACACACACTCACACACACACACAGAGAGAGAGAGACACGCTCTCACACACACACAATCACGTAGGCACGCACACACACAAACACATGCACGCAGGCCGCGTACGTACCGTGAGCGCCTCCTTGGTGGCGGAGCTGTAGTCGCAGTACGCGCACGTGTGGATGCGGCCGAGCCCGTGCCGCGCGCGCTTGTGCTCCTGCAGCTGGTTGTTGTTGCGGCACCGCTTGCCGCACGACTGCACGCGCACACACAATGATCAACATCATCGACATCATCATCATCACCACCTTCCCACCCTTATCCTATTTCTTTACAGAAATCTGATAATAATATTGTAAGCTGACGATTCACCTTATGGAAAGTGGTGACCGTCGCAAAACCCCCAAGAGGAAGGTTTATGTTCAGCAGTGGACAGATAAAGGCTGATATAGTAAATAATTTAACATCTGTCCCATTCGTGTTTCTACCGTGAAGCAGTTGTGTTTGCATGGCTGTGTTTCGGTATGAAGGGTGGGATATGGCAGTGAATTTACAGGGTACAGAGGAATAACACCCGAGTCCTCAGGAATGACAACGCGTGGGGTGTATCATGGGCGAAACAGTATACTCTGTTATGTCCACGGTACTGCTCATGTCTATAGGCGACGGTTACCACTTTCCATCAGGTGAACTGTCAGCTTTTTTGCCATTTTAAGTTGTATAAAAAAAAAATAACTGGTTTTGACATGACTGAAGTTGGTTTTTTGTGAAATACAATCTAATAATATTCTTTGAGGCACAATGGCAGACCCTAATCAGGGAATCATCACCATGCTCATCTCTGCTTACCTCGCAGACGCAGTAGTTGGTGTGGAACCTCATGTGAGCCTTGTATGTGGCCTTCATCCGGAACTCCTTGCTGCACGTGGTGCATTTATAAGATGCAGCATTGGGTATCATGCAGCGTTTCTTCTTTGTACCTGTTGTTTGCTTCTAGAACAGAAGAGCAACATTAGTCTGTATAGAAAATATTATGTCCAAAAACATAATCTAAACATAAATTAATATTATAAAGAGGAAAGATTTGATTTTTAGTTTTTGAAATCACTTCAAAAAGAAGGAAGGTTTCTATTCAACATATATGTGTGTGCGTGCTTGTGTGCGTGTGTGCGTGTGTGTATGTGCGCGCGAGTGTGCATGTGTGCGTGTGCGCGCACACGTGTGTGCGTGTGTAAACTATTAATAATGTAACTAAACCAAACCTGTTTAAATTTTGGTTTTACATCTTTCTTTGTGAGATCATCAAAATCATTGACAATACCAGCTTGATAGTCATCACTGTAGTTGTGGGAATCGTCATTCTGAAAACCGTTGTCGTAGACCTCATAATGAACATCATTGTCCTTTATATCAGGCTGCGACTTTGTCACTTTTTTGTCTTTGTAAACTTTCTTTTGTAACCTGGTGTTGTACTTCTTTTTGGGTTTCCGTCCGGACACCATGTTCAGCAAGGTCTTCTCCGCTTTTCGACTTGTTCTTCTGAATTGTAATGCTGTATTCATTAAATCTAAACATTTCATACACATTTTTTGTGATAACCCATCGTCCATTCTGATCTGAAATCAGGGTTTCAATCTTTTAACTGACCTAGTTAGAGTTAACCAACAAATTCTACCTGAGGGAGATTTTGTACAAAAGTCATACGCATGGTGAATATATAATATACTATACTACGCATTTATTTGTAATTGTATTTATTTTTTTATACAACTTAGAATGGCAAACAAGCTGACGGCCCACCTCATGGGAAGTGATAACCGTCGCCTATAGACATGAGCAGTATCATGGACATAACAGAGTATACTGTTTCGCCCATGACCATGGCGAAACAGTATACTCTGTTATGTCTACAGTGGTACTGTGGATTGTGGATTCATATCTATAGATGACGGTTACCACTTTCCATCAGGTTTTTTAATAGATGATAATGAAATGGCAACCCTACCTGCACTATCGGTATACTCTGGCTAGGCACCAGTGAAAGATGACAGGTGAGGATGAAAGCAGGTCAGTTAGCCCATCCTGACGAATTCAACTAGAATTAACCATGATGGTTTCAAGGGGGAACCACATGGAGTTCGATCTGACAGGGTGTATTGCTTGCAACAGGGCAGTTTGATTCCATTACTAATAATCCCTTTCCCCCAACTGCAGGGAAAAACTGTGAGCGGTGACAGGTGAGCTTATCACCGCTCACTGGTGACCCGCCAGCGTGCACCGATAGCGCAGGCGGGGTTGCCATTCCATTATCATATATTAAAAAAAAATTAAATTTTATTATATTAAAAAAAATTGTTCAAAACTTACATCTAAACCCGTGACTAATTTCAGATCTTCCGTCCTCTTTTTCTCCGTATCTTTACTGATGAATATAGAAACCAAGTCCTGTGTGCTCAGACATGTTCGACAGTACAATATTACGGGAATCTTCTTTTCAATTCTTATAGGTTTAATGACTTTTTGTTTTTTGGCATTTCGCTTTCTCATCGCAATATTATTTAGTAACAATACGGCCAACATTTTCTCTCTTTTTGATTTTTAAACTATATAAAAATAATTACACTGTCTATTGGAAATTATTTTATATCCAATAGTGATTAATTCATCGTCAGACATTTAATGATATTCTTATTTTAAATGAGAATTTAAATTTAAAAAAAATAAACGCCCGCAATTATAGGTGCGGAATGAATTTTTATTTTCATCGGGCGGGCGTCACTCGGAGGAATTTTTATGTATGAAACAATGTTACCGTTTTAGTCTGTCAAAAGTTTAACCTAATAAATTTGAGTAGAACTTAGTAAAAGTATATACATATATTATTTTATTAAAATATATATATGTATGAAATAGACCTTTTTGTAGTTGACTATATTATTTTTATTTTAAATGGTGACATTTTAACAGGAAACCGCATACTACATATCTAATTAATTAATTAATCATACATAAGTAATATTTATGTTTGTAATCATCACTACTTATAATTCAATTTTAGTTCATATCGATAAATAATAGGAACCATGGTAGGAATAACACTAATGGATTTTGGTTAATTTTACAAGTTCATCAAAATTAGTAATATTGCATAGAAAATATATAATATATGTTTCTATATGAACGAGTTACCTTAGTTAGTTAGTTAGTTAATTAACTTAATTATATAATATATTAAATTTGTTGTATTTTTTTTATTTTAGTTACCTTATAAATCTGTTATTTCTAAACCAATTTGGGACATTCTTTTTTATTTGAAAGATACATATCATATACTTACAGATTGGCCGCGTAGAAATGTTATCAAAATCACTTCAGTAGTTTAGATTAAATTAACTAGTTTTGTCATAAATAAAGTCGGTTTTTCTTTGTATAAGACAATCTTTAATTATTGTTTATAAATACATAATTTATTAAAATACCTATTAGTTATTTTAATATTTAAAAAAAAATATAAGTGAAGCATTGTTTTTGTAATGGAACCATACGGCTATTCTTGTTGGATATGATCTGCCATGATGTAACATAATAGTTTGGTAACATAGCTTCATACAAAAACGTCATATCAATAACAATGTCCCAACTGTCGTAAGCCTGTAGCTATCTGTCATCTTCACTTATGTGTTTCATTATATGCAATAACAATATTGCTTTTTAATTATTGTCTTATTAAAAATATAATAATTGACTATCATGCAAACGCCAGGTAGATTTTCGAAAGACATTTCTAAACTGCATTCTACCTATTTATAAATGAGAATTAAAATTTTTATAAAATGAAATTTAATTTTAAACTCGTCGACACATATTTTTAATACCGATAAATTTGATGAGGTTCGATCGGGACCTAAGAACAAGGAAATCTTTATTCGGGACTTAACGTGAGGCAATTGCAGGTAAATAGTTTGAACGTGTATGTCGTAATGACGAAACGTAGGCAATAAAAATTAGGTACGTAGGTAATATTTACAGTTAGTTGCATGACCCGATCATTATCAACATCATTTCAGCCATTATACGTCCACTGCTGGACATAAGCCTCCCCCACAGACTGCCATAAAAAACAATCCTGAGCCACCTGCATCCATTGACTCCCTGCAATGCATTTCAGGTCGTCACTCCATTTAGTGGAGGTTCGTCCTACACAGCGTTTGCCCGTATGCGCCACTCATCTTTCTTCCCCATCGGTTGTCGGTTCTTCGAACTATATGATCAGCCATTGACACTTCAACTTGTCCTTCGAGTTTCAACCGTGAAGCAGCTGTGTTTCGGCTTGAAGGGCGTGAATTTACTGGGTACAGAGGAATAACACCTGAGTCCTCAGGAATGGCAACGCATGGTGGGGTATCATAGGCGAAACAGTATATTCTGTTATGTCCACGGTACTGCTCATGTCTATAGGCGACGGTTACCACTTTCCATCAGGTGGGCCGTCAGCTTGTTTGCCATTCTAAGTTGTATAAAAAAAAAAGAGCTATGTCGGTTATTTTTGTTTTTTTTTTTTTTGCGGATATCCTCGTTTCGGATTCTATCACGCGAAGAGACTCTGAGCATAGCCCTCTCCATAGCCTGCCGAGTAATTTGAAGCTTTTGCATACGGGCAATCGTGTAGGAGCGTGTTTCGGTTCCATGACTCATCAGTGGCAACACGCACTGATTAAAGACTATTATCTTAAGCCCCGATAGTGTATTTAAAATAGATATATAAATATGATATAAAATTACTTTTTCTCAAACATGCTTGGAAATGTGAGGATTATTTTGCCGTACTGGCCAGATACATGCGGGCAGCGGCCGGCAAAAGTTGTATGAAAATCCATATCTGTCGTGTTTTGCGGCCAGATAAATTACTATGTAAACTCATATCTATCCTGTAATTTAAAAATGGAATGACCTTTTACTTCGAACCATGGCTACCAAGGAGGTAACTAATAAAAGGTTTTATTTAAATTTCGAACTGGCTTTCACATAGAAAGCTGTTTATTGAAAAAAAAAACAAAGGAACATTATGGTGCGTGAAAAATTGTTATTGTTCGTTATTCGTCATTGAACTTAAAAAGTAAAATTGTGTTTTTGATTTCCGCGCATTGTTTGAGAACAGTACTATACAAGCCTTGGCCACAACTAGGCATTGATGGATTCACTTATGTGTGCCTCGGCTACTCCTCGGCCCACATTTGCACGTTCGTCCATCAATGCCTCAATTACTGGCCGCTGCAGTAATGTACTATTATTGTATTTCTCATTTAAAACATACCTTCAAGTTATTATTATTGATAATACAATTTTTTATTTTATATTTTGAGCTAAGCATACACACCCAGAGAAAAATCAAAACACTCCTTTTTGCTTCGTCGTAGTTGGGTAAAAGTATTAAATCGAGCAGGTTATTTTATGAAAGGGCTTTATTGGCACATATTAAAACCGATTTCTTGTTTTAAGGTTCCGTACCACCAAAAGAATTACTAATGAATACTACCGACAAAGATTTGCATGCTATTGAATATGGCGAAACATACTAAACGTTAAAAAACAAAATATCCTATTATGAAACTGTTTCTGGCGAAAAAAAATATTATTAAGGAAAAAACGGAACCTTTATAGGATCACTTCGCTGTCCGTCTGTCTGTCAAGACCCTTTTTCTTAGAAACGCGTGGTGGTATCAAGTTGATATTAATATCATATAATCAGGTCTGCAATCTCTTGAAGCAGTGAAAAAATCAAGCTTCTAAATCGACGCAATCGAGAGATATGGCCGTTTATGTTCCAATTGTGTCGCACATTTTGACATTTGCAAAGAGAATCAAAACCTATTGGGTACTTCCCGTTGACATACAATCATGAAATTTGGCAAGAAGCAATGTCATGTAGCACAAGTGAAGGGAAAAATTCGAATACTGTAAATATGTAGTTATTTCACAAAAAAAAAAATTCAATTTGTTACGGAACCTTCGTTTCGCGAGTCTGACTCGCACTCGACCGCCTTTTTTTCAGCGTACTGGATGAATTGACATGAAGAAATAAAAAAAAAAACATAAATAGTTTGTAATGACATTGCATAAATAAAAAATTGGTTATAAACTTTTTAAATTTTGACGTATAATTTTAATAAAAGAAATAATAAGGACATCCTTGCCTAATATCCTTGTTAACAAACGTGTAACAATTATAAAATGTTAAACTTTATTGTTTAAATTAGGAATGATCAAATATCACTATCTTTCATCACTTTTCCACCAATATGCCTCTATGATGTCTATGATATATATATATATATATATATATATATATATATATATATATATATATATATATATATATATATATATATATATATAGACTTAGGGGGAAAGGGATTGTTAGCAATGGAGTTCGACATTGCTAGCAATATGCCCTATCAGATCGACCACCACGTGGTTCCCCCTGGAAACCATCGTGTACAATTCTTGTTGAATTCGTCACGATGGGCTAACTGGCCTGCTTCGTCCTCACCTATCATCCTTCACTGGTGCCCCGCCGGTGTATACCGATAGCGCGGGTGGGGTTACCATTCCATTATCAACCATTAAAAAAAAAATATATATATATATATGTAGGCTTGATAGTGGTATTTTTTTTTGATGAGTGAAAATGGTACGGTAACCCCGCCTGCGCTAACGGTATACGCTGGCGGAGCACCAGTGAAGGGTGATAGGTGAGAATGAAAACAGGCCAGTTAGCCTATCATGATGAATTCATTGGGAATTAACCAGGATAGTTTCCAGGGGGAACCGTGAGGAGGTCGACCTGGTCCTGTGGTTTCCTGTGGTCTCCATTACTAACAGTCTCTTTCCCTCCTTGTTTAGAGGGTTGGTTCTTAGTAGTTATCTAGACAGAAAAACCAGTACGTAACATTCCTTCGCACTCTAATCGCAGCTCTGTCCAACAGCATGGACGCACAAATATTTCCCAATGGTGTGTATATGAAGGCAGACATGTTTCTTCAGTTTGGGTTTCGTTTTGAAACATTTTTTACACACATTACAAGTGTACGGCTGTTCACTGCCATGATTCTCCAAGTGTAGTTTCCAATTGTACTTCCTCGTGAAGCACTTCTTGCATATGTCACAGCTGTACGGCTTCTCCTCAGTGTGGGTGGCCAAGTGTGCTTTTAAACTTTGCTTCGAGTTGAAACATTTTTTACACACATCACAACGTATTTTCTCATCCGTGTGTATATGCGAGTGGTGTTTCAAACGTTTCACCGTGAGGAATCTTTTCTTGCACACGTCACAACTGTACGGCTTCTCACCCGTATGTATGTGTGAATGCTCTTCTAAGTGTGCCTTTATTCTGAAACCCCTTTTACATACGTCACAGCTGTATGGCTTTTCACCGGTGTGCGTGGTCAAGTGCTGTTTCAAGTACGCTTTCGTTTTAAATGACTTTTTGCACAAATCGCACGTGTACGGTGTCTCGCTGCTGTGTGTGATCGTGTGCTCTTTTAAATGTGCCCGCGTGTTAAAGCATTTCTTACATATGTCACAAGTGTACGGCCTTTTACCAGTATGTATGTTGGCGTGGTCCTCCAAATGTCCTTTTATCCTGAAGCCTCTTTTGCACACGTCACAACTGTACGGCTTTTCACCGGTATGTATATAGAAGTGATTTTTCAAATATGCTTTTGTTTTGAATGACTTCTGACACACGGTGCACGTGTACGGAGTTTCTCTACTGTGTATACGTGTGTGTTCATTCAAATGCGCTCGTGTGTTGAAACATTTCTGACATACATCACAGCTGTAAGGCTTTGCAGCAGTAGGAACTAGTACATTTTTATTTTTTAAACTTGTTTCAGGCTTGTAAGGTTGTCCAGTATATACTGGTGATGACATATGACATTCTAATGTACCATTTGACTTTGTCTCACATGTACCACTGTCTTGGTGCTTAGAGTTGTGGACATTTTCAGAGTCGATCTCTGGTTTTGAATCACTAGGTTCTACGATCAATTCAGTTTTTATATCATAATTCTCACATTCTTTTGTTGATGGCTGACTATCTTCACCAGAGAATATGTTTATATGGGCCGTTTCCTCATTGGCAACACACTCTGTCTTCATAATACCACTTGTATCTACATCATACTCGACGATTTCTTGTTTAATCAATTGTTTCAGCACAGTGTCTCCTTCTGTTATGGACTGTGGAGACTTTTCGTAAAATATGGGGACGATCTCCTGTTTAGTGCTACAATAGACATGTACACCAGCCCCTGGTGCAATGACTGCATCAGTATCCGACTGTGGCTCCCGAGCCTCCTGCTTGACACGTACGGAGGTCACATCCGGCTGGCTCACCGTCTGTTCCTGGACCACACTTTCACAATACATGTCGGTTATTCGACTGTTCATTAAAGTTGATAATTACTATTAGTAGAATATTCCAAATTTGAAAAATCCTCGACGTTGGCATTTATCACAGAGATTTTTATAAATATCTAAGGAGTGTAAGGCCAGGGTTTTCGAAACAATTCATAAGTAGATTGTTTGATTGTTCACTATAAACGTTTTGTAATTGTTAAAGTAATATACGAATGAGTAAAGTAATAATTTTGCTGGATATTTTCGGCATATAAACTCGTTGAAACAGCCAATAATCGATACAATTAAATAATACAGCTATTAGTTTATTGATTAGATAAGGAAAGGATAAATTGATAGAATAACAGAACCCATTGACACACCTTTACAAATGACAGTTTACAGATGACAGAGTCGTGATAAATGAACGTAGTGCTCTGTATGACAATGACATTAGACATTATCTGTGGAAAAGAGTCCAAACTATCTCAACTCAACAAACGTGGATAAGTCCAAAACAAGTCCGAAAATTAACTATTTGTGATAAATTTCATTATTTATTTCTTTATCAGACAAAAGACCGACATTCTGTATAGACATATGCTTTTCCGTATTTTATCTGGATATGGGAGTAAAATAAGATCTAAGTTTCAAGTTTTACAGTACATAATTTCTAATTGCATAAAGGCATTAAACAACTATAATCTAAGGAAATAACGTAGATAATATCAAACTGCAATAATTTCGGCTTATAAGTTTAAATTATGGCTGACAGTCTCCCTAATCTATGGAAACCATTTGTAACACAACAGAATTCCCGCGAACCCTTCAGAATTATTAGAAAACGTTAAAACATTATCTCTCTGTCTATATTTTCATTAAAAATCAGGTTAAGATTTAATTTCTTTCTCCTTTTTAAAAAAATGCCATATCAGATTAGGCTGTATGGGCTTCGTTCTCTTTGCCTATCCTTGTATAAAAAGGATAAATAAGAAAAAGGCTGGAAGGCGGGAAATGTATTTGGCGAGCGCGTATTTTATTTTGAATTAATTAAAATATTTATTTCTAGGGCTGATTTGGCGTGGCAATTAATAAAATAATATCTTAAATTTTTAAACTTTGAAATGTAACTAATTTTAAGACAATATAGTTGGTTAGAATAAAATGTGCTGTACCTAAATATAACATAAATCAGGGTACATTGTTAGCAATGGGACTGATAGTTCATATTACTAACAACCCTGGAAAGGAAACCGTCGCCTATAGACTTGAGCTTGTTTACTACTCCTTCACATATAATAAAATTAAACACAACACTTGTGTCTGTATATGAAAAATTTGTCGAAATTTTACTCGGTGTATGTTTTTTTTTAAATTACGACTTCATCGTGGCTCGAAGAACGGCTGAAATAATAATAATAGTTCGTTTTGAGAACTGACATGTCATTGTGACGTTGCCATAAGGTTTTTTTTTTATCATATCAGCCAATTAACTGTCCAATGCTGAACATAGGTCTTCTCTTGTTGGTTTTGGCAATAGTTGCCACGCTTGGCAGGCAGGTTGGCGACCGCAATTTGGCTTTGGTGATGTTTTAAGAGGGACGCTGCTGCCCGTCCCTTAGTTGCCTCTTACGACACCCACGGGAAAGGGGTGGCCTATTCTATACCGGGAGCCACATGGCAATATATATATATACATATATATATATTTTAAGAGGTCGGTAGGTTATGAAATTAAACTCGTGTCATTATAGGGGAATCCAACTCATGTATTAACAGTTTCACAACTTTAAAATTAAAATACATTTGTATTAAAGCGACTCACCAAATTATACGTCTTTACTGATCAATGTTCAATCCACAACTGTCAACAGTTGGTCGTTACTTCTAGTTTTTATGTCGACTATTTTGGCGGGTAAATAATTATTCCGGAAATGACAAATAACCATTTTGCGGTTAAATCAAATCAGCAACGGTGGCATTTGACAATTTGTTGTGTTATGATACAAATATAATAAAATATTGACATACTAAATGTATATACATATATACACACACACGCACGCATGCACGCATGCACGCACGCACGCACGCACGCACTCACACACACTCACACACACACACACACACACACACACACACACACACACACACACACACACACACACACACATATATATGTGTAATCGTATTGACGTCTTTTTTCGCTCCAACCTTTTGTCAACGTTTGCCGCCATTTTTCGAGCTTGTGTCTAGAGTCAATAAAATGTCTTTTTTTTTACAAACACATATATAAATTATTTTTGGTGATCGTATTGACGTTCTATTATGAAAATAAATCACATTTTTACCAAACACAACCAATCGATAATTTATTTTGTGATTTAAAGATACATACATATGATTTGGCGGGAAAATACAATGTGTTCCTCTATTATAAACATATCTGTCATGTCTATAGACATACAAAACATAAGTTCCTTTCTTCGAAACATGAAGGGGCACCAGCAAATCCTAAATTTTTCACATATTATTATTATTTGGAAAACCTGCCACTGGATAATTTTGACAACAAAAAATTTTTAAGCCACTACGCCTGCCCATATTCATATTTTTTTTTTACCATACCATTATCACCTAGATAATGGTATGGTAACCCCGCCTGCGCTATCGGTATACACCGGCGGGGTACCAGTGAAGGATGATAGGTGAGGACGAAGCAGGTAAGTTAGCCCATCATGACGAATTCAACAATAAACCAATCAAGATGGTTTCCAGGGGGAACCGCGAGGAGCTCGACCTGATAGAGTTTATTGCCAGCAATGGGATTGATAACCCCCATTACTAACAACCGTAATTGAGATGGTTTGCTAGTAGTTGCCACGTATGGCAGGTAGCAACCGTAGGCTTCAGAGATGTTTTAAGGGGGACGCTGCTGCCCGTCCCTCGCCGTCCCTTAGTCGCCTCTTACGACAGCCACGGGCCCGTTCTATGCCGGGACCACACGGCAGACTGTACACTACTACAGAGTAACCATTATTTACAATACTGGTGCAGTATTTCGAGTCAATTCATTAAGAAATACACTTCTTGTACATCAGACGGACGAGTTTCCTCACCGGGCGTCGCCTGCGGCTGTACCTGCGAGAAGAAGGGTGATAATGGAATAGGGGAGACCAGAAGGAGACTTTGTACGACAGTCGTTTGCTTGGGTACCACTGTCCCATTCGTGTTTCTACCGTGAAGCAGTTGTGTTTGCATGGCTGTGTTTCGGTTTGAAGGGATGGCATGGCAGGATTTGAAGGGAAGGATATGGCAGTGAATTTACAGGGTAGAGAGGAATAACACCTGAGTTCTCGGGAATGGCAACGCATGGGGGGTATCATGGGCGAAACGGTATACTCTGTTATGTCCATGGTACTTTTTTAAATTGATAATTATGGTATGGTAACCCCGCCTGCGCTATCGGTATATACTAGCGGGGCACCAGTGAGAGGTGATAGGTGACAATGAAAGGGCAGGTCAGCTAGCCCATCGTGACGAATTCAACGATAAATTAGTCACGATAGTTTCCAGGGGGAACCGCGTGGAGGTCGACCTGATAGTAATGGGGACTAACCTCCCCATTACTAACATATTAGTATTATTAAGTGACCACACCTCAAACTTGTCTATGACGCCCTGCTCCTGCCGGGGCACCGCATGAGTCCTGGTCAGGTGGCGCCGCACTGTGGCGGGGCTGCGGAACACGTCCCGGCACACCGGGCACACGTACCGGTGGCGCTTCTCGCGGTGCACCTTGAACTCGTGATGCTGGAGTAGACGTTTGGACTTCTCGCGTTTGTTGCAGATGGTACACTGTTGGTAAACACATACATAATAAGGGGGAAAGAGATTGTTACACCCTATCAGGTAGACCTCCATGCAGTTCCTGGAAATCACAACGGTTTCCAGAGGGAACCGCGCGTAAACCATCCTTGTTTAATTGGCCATTAGGGGCCTACTAACCTGCCATCATCCTCACCTGTCACCTCTCATTGGTACCCCGCCAGCGTATACCGATAACTTTTTTTTATACAACTTAGAATAGCAAACAAGCTGACGGCCCACCTGATGGAAAGTGGTAACCGTCGCCTATAGACATGAGCAGTACCGTGGACATAACAGAGTATACTGTTTCGCCCACGATACCCCCCATGTGTTGCCATTCCTGAGGACTCAGGTGCTATTCTTCTGTACCGTGTAAATTCACGCCATATCCCATCCTTCAAACCGAAACACAGCCATGC